CCATACAGAGCACACAGTCTGTGGATGGTTTGATGAATAAAATACCAGATTTCAGCCGCTCTCCTCCTCCAACTTCGCCAAATAAGGGGATATCTCTTGGAAGAATGCTCTGTTATTCGGGTGAAGCGACCTATAATGAACCTCAGTGGCTCAGCTGATTCCCTCCAGAGCCCTGTCCTGTGAAGTGGTGAGACTCACATCTGGATTTACTCTGAAGATCTCACACTTCATAAGATGCTAACAAACTCATACCTGGCTATTTTTAACGCTGGAAGTCAGATCTGTGTTCTCCTGCGCCCCGGTTCAGATAGAGGACAGGAAGTGAAGGTGATGCACTTCCTGTAGCGTCCTGTTTGGCCGGCATTGAAGGATATTTGTGGGTCAGGACCCCGTTTCTCTGTGTATGCACTCTCTCTCAGTGTTGGCTTGGAAATAATGTTCCCTCCTTTGGCTACACTTTCACAGGGGAATAGAGACACACTCGCACCCATCAAATTGGCACCTAGGCTTCGAGTTGCCTAGCAACCGTGTGGGAAAGGTTATTATTCAGGCAACTTCTGTAGGTGTGTGTGAGAGTGGAGCAGTGACAGAGACGTATATTTGTGCACGTGTGTGTTTGCAGACGTTTAGTGGCAGAGAGGGATCGTCTGAGGAATTGTTAAATTATACTTGCATCGAATGTGTTTATGCTTTTTTTTGTGTGTGTGTGTGTGTGTGTGTGTGTGTGTGTGTGTGTGTGTGTGTGTGTGTGTGTGTGTGTGTGTGTGTGTGTGTGTGTGTGTGTGTGTGTGTGTGTGTGTGTGTGTGTGTGTGTGTGTGTGTGTGTGTGTGTGTGTGTGTGGTCGGTCGACAGTTTGGCACGTTTAATGTCTAGGCTCTCGTTGATCGCTCACAGTTATGTGCGCCCTGTGTTAACCCACTTCTGGGTTTCCATGGTAACAGTGGGACAGTGGCCCGGGGTGGTCAGAGGAAGCCAAACACACAACACAACTCAGCGCTCGTACTCTCACTAGCCGGAGGACAGACTTTCCTCGACACTCTCTCACATTTCTCAGATTTGCCATCAGCTTTCCAATATCCTCTTTGCATTTGTCATTCTCTGTTTATTCTCCTCTCTCTGGGAAATCAGATGCTCATAGTCTGAATTTCAATAAGGAGGGATTAATTAGAAGTGTATGAAAATTAATTGAGGGTGGCAACACTGACAGACTTTGCCGATCAGGCCCCATTGATGTGAAGCGTTTTCATTAGGCGTCAGGCTGTATGAAGACGGGAGATAACACAGAGCTCCTGGGAGTCTACTCACTATAGAGGAGTAAAGCCTGCAAGTGGAGGATGGAAACTCACAAACCGATTGGTTTAAGGAAAGCAAGCAAAAATAAGACTCGTCAGATATGGAGCTGCAGAATTTGTGAATGTTATTAACAGAGAGGCAGGAGGGAGAAATGTGAGGGAAAACATATTTATCACTGAACTCCAGCCAAAGTGTGTGTTGTAGTTCTAGGGCCTCTCATTGAATCGCACACATTCTCTACAGCTAAATGAGAGACAATTACTTCCACTACATACTTGAGTGAACACTGAGGACTGAAGACAATGAGCTTTCTGAAAATATTTCACAATGTACACAAAACAATGTGCTGGTAGGAATGCAAGTCTGAGTGATGCACTTTATGGGGTCTATTAGGCTAAGGCCCCGGCTCCACAGGAACGCATACGGCAAAATGCATAGGAGTAACGCAAACGCAAACGCCAAAAAGCTTCCGCCCACACGCAATATACACCGGATTGTGTCAAGCTACACGAGACAGCTCCGTTTACATCCAACCGCTGGAAAAGCTGCAGTACATATGCCGAGCCTGTACGTGGCGCTGTAACTTCCTCCACAAAAGCAGCAACTTCCTCCACAAAAGCAGCGAAGAAGAATGGTTGTCATGGCTGCACTTCTGTTTATTCTCCGCGGTGGGGGCCGAGGGAACCGCGCAGAGTTTTTCGCCGGTCAACGTGTGTTAAAGTTTAAATCTTCATGCTTCCTCATGCAGCAGCTGATCCAGTAAGTAAACCCGACAGTAAAAATAAACATATTTATAACTAGTTTAGGTAGTTTGAGAGGTAATTAAAATAGCTAAGGGTGATGATCTGACTTGAAGTGTCTCCGTCCTGTCAGATTAGACTTCACTCGCGTTTATGTCCATATCGAGATAAAGATAAATAATCTGAATTCAGTGTGCAGTGTACTTTTGCGGGGGTGAGCAGCAGAGGTGGGGAGAGGCGGGGCTATTGCGTCGTCATTATCAGAAACGGATGACCGTATAGGCTACCACACGGCCCCGTTAGACCCCCCAGAGCGCTCCGTTCCCAGATCTATCCACCTTTGGACCCGTTGTTGTTTGCAGGGTCCGTTTCTACCGTTCCGTTACGGCGTCGTCTAGCTTAAAGGGCTATACGCAAGAGAAATATGCGGATTCAACCCGTTTTCGTTCCCGTGGAGCCTAGGCCTAAGTGTGTTTGGTTTGTCAAATCACGGGAATGTTCAGACTTCAATACCTGAAACAGACAAAGACTAGAAGACTAGTGTTCTCTAAGTTTTAAATAACAAACACACAGCAATCAAAATTATCCCTGTGTCCTGATCATTACAGTTATAGTACCACTTTTACACTGTTTTTCTACTAATAAAACATTGATAATTGTGCCATCCATTCTCAATTTTCAATCTTTTCATGTGGATCTTTGGATAATTTTAAATAAAGTGCAAAGCACATTTGTCTTACCTGCTGTGGTTGTGTGTATTTCCTCTCTAGCCATGGAGTTTCACGAGAAGCTGCAGAGTCTGGCGGAGAAGGAGGGGCTGCGGGGTCGCAAGATCAGCCGGGCGCTGGAGAGTTTCAGCTGGAACATCACCATCCTTAAGGTCAGCAACACACAAACACCTTTAGGGTAGATCATTCAAACTTGTTTTGGCCTGTAGCTAGTTGGCATCCCTGCCTCCATTCCTACTCTTCATTACTCATCTCGCCTTACTACCCTCCACTCATTATTCTCTCACCATTTCCTCATGTCTTCTTTCTCAGGGTCAGGCTGACTTGCTGAAACACGCCAAAGCTGAAGTCCAGGAGAACATGAAGCAGGTCCACGATGCTGCGTTGACGGGAAACCTCACCAAGGAGAGCATCGGAGTGAAAAGAGTCCGCTCCCAAACTCGACGAGGCCAGGATGAGTAACCCACCACCAGTGCTGGAGGACCCTCGGCATAGCGAGCAAATAAAAGAGGACGTGACCAATTTGCCATTGTAGCTGCTGTGACAAACCCTTTGCGTGTTGTGAAACGTTTTTCCAAGGTCTTAATCCGCCTAAGTGTCAGACTTTCACAAATGCCATGTGAGAGCAATAGCAAGTATTGTTTTTGAAAAGAGAAGAACAGATGAATGTAAAGAAGTCTTCAAAAATGCAGACGCTGTCCACCCACCTGTCGCAGAAAAACAATCCGTGGCACTTCTGAGAGGAGACGGGAGAGAAATGATACTGGGGAGATGAATGTAGTTAGATTTGAAGCCAAGGTTAAGTTGTTTGTTCTGCATAAACCTGTAAATACACAAATGTCTATCAACGTTTTAAATGTGCAATGTGTCTTGAAGAGAGAGGAAGAAAAATGTCATTTTCGAGCTGAGTGAGGGATTAAAAAAATGACTTGACACTGATTATAAAAGTGGGAGTAAGCAGGAGTCTGTGGATGTTTTAGATATTTTCACGTTAAATCTCATGGACCAGCGCAGCCCCTTTATTACATCCTCCATCTAATTTCCATTAAACATTTGTGGGTCCTCGTCCAATCACCTTGAGGTCCTTTGTGTTGCCATGAAATCCTCCCTTTAACTCTCAAAATATTGTTGTCTCGCATACAGTATTTTATATTTTTGTATTTTCCTTGTGCTAAACAAACCACTGTTACCTACCATAATGCTCAACAGACGTGTAGGTGTCTGCCTCTAGGGAACAAATGCTGTTATGTTCAAAGTGCTTATGTTGTGTGCAAAACACTGTACAGTATTTTACTATGTAATTTCAATCCTTTTGCTGTAAAGAATATTTTACATAAGTTATTGTTCCTGAATGAGAACATTCCAGTTATGGGTGCATTAGATGAGGCTGGCAGAAGGTTTCAGTTCACGGTCGCCTTCCTTCACAGAAGATGGAAATAAACTAGTTTTTAAATGACTGATGCTCATGTGTCTGTCACTGTTTTTCCTTTGATGTGCATTCACTCATAGCAGGCACAGATGACAGCTGGAGACTGTATATGTGAAACTGACATATGTGCAGTGGCTAAAAGCCTAACCAGCTTCCATTTATAGCTTCAATGCTCACTGGGGTAGAGGATGATTAGTCGCATAAATGATGCACATTTGTAATAATGAATTCAACTTTTCGAACAATCTGAGCATAAAATTCATTTTGTTGCTGTTCTGGAGCATTCAATCATATCACATGATATTAATCAATATTGGAGCGGTCATGAAATTTTACTTATTATATTTTGGTCCACTTTTTGTCCACTCCAGACAGATAGTAATTGTATTGACATTTTGTCTGTTCCCCAGAGGAGGAATCATACTGACATTTACTCTAGCAACTCCACATGGTTTACATTCATGGTTTCGAGGGAATGTCTACAAAATATAGGACTAATTTCAATAACATTTACTCCAGCCATTGACATTTTCCTTAAGCGTCATTGCTATGCGTGCTGAAAAGCAAAATGAGCATTATAAAAGGCATTATTTTGACCATGTTGGCATAAAAAAAGCAACCTGTTATTCCATGAAAACAAGGCTAACATCATGGGCTGATGAAGACTATGTGATATGATGAAAACCTTAAGAGTATTGGAGTGTGTTCAAAGTTAGTTTTAACGAATCCTGTTTTTAAAGTTAAGAGTGAAATCTGGACCCGGACACCATCCACTTCTAAGAATTCCCAAACAGGCACAGTAACATCAGTGTGTAGCAAGAGCGATGTCGTTTTATTGGTCTTGAGTTAATTATGCTGAATGGGCAGCTAGCGGGACATTCTTTGTGTGCGCTGCGTTACATGTTACCACAGGACACCAAAACAACTCAGTTGTAATGTGAACAAAATGAAAACCATCGATAAACAGATTAAAATGTCCACGTTGGAATCAATAAAAAAGAAAAGGAAAAAAATACATACTTTAATGGTTTTCATCCGGGAACCTAAACTAAGGATTAAAAATCTTTCTTAAAAAAAACAAAAAAAGAAGCCAACAAAAACAGTAAGATCACAGAGTCAGGTTTTGTTTGGTTGAGAGAAGAAGAACGGTCAGAGGCACTGGTTCAGGGGGGGGGGAAGCTGATAACTGGCAGGAGGATGTCATCCTTCTTTCATTTCACAGAAGAGAGCTCCCTCTGAAAGAGCAGAGACGCACAGACATAACAAGCAGAGCTATGGCCAGATGTCCACATTCAGGAGAAGCAGAGCAATTATTACAGTAAGAGAGAGCCCGCCCTGTATACAAATTGCAGTTTGATCCAAGTCTTTAGAGTAATCATGTAGTGACAGGGTAAGCAGTTCAATGGCGCCCTCTCTGTGTAGAGCAGGGGGCTACAGTTAAATATCAGAAGTGAGGGGACATGATGAGGAGACAGGCATTAGGGAAATGAGAGGGCATACAGCATGAGCTCAGACAGGAAGTGGCAGAAAGAGACAGAGAATAACGTCATGGTGACTGGAAGCGTCACAGTCCACATGTGCAATTCTTTAGCCGACAGCAGCTCCACCCTCTGATCCCAAGTCAGTTTGTTTTTGGTTCACAGGTCGTTGGGGTTGACGATGGTGAAGTCAGAGTCCTTGCTGTGGGTGGAGCCCTCGTCTGGGCTGGAAGACCCCGAGGTGCCGGCCGTCAGCGGGTCCTGGAGGACCCCCGCGGCCCCCTCCGGCTCCAGGCGCACCAGGCCGCGCCCCCGCCTGATTGGAGGGGTGCGTTCGGCTGCAGCCCCCCCTCCTCCTCCTCCTCCTCCCTCGCCGGCTGCCAGGTCTCCGTCCTGACACACCAGGATGTAGTCGTCCCAGTTCTTACCCTCGGAGCCCAGGGAAGACCCCGCCTGCACACGAGAGATGGCAAGGTCTGTGTCTTTGTTCTGTTTTGGCAAAAATGTAGTCCTCCTATTGTAATGATTTACTAGGTCTAAAGACATCATATTTGATAACTTTGTTGAAAATCATGATATTACTTGCAATAAATAAAACACATTTAGTTCCTCTTACGTCTCTGCACTCATCTTGTTACACTTTCCTCCTTTAACCATACAGAGTGATATGCTAGTAATGGTGTAATCAACTTTAGATTCTGACCAATCAGATGATGAATAAAGACGAGGGCTATGTCTGATTGGCCAGAGTTAACAGCATGGCGCTTATCATACAGAAACAGTGTCTACAGACAGAATATAATATGTTGTTACTATATTCAAAGTGCAATAGTGTGGGCTTTGGCAATGTAATGCAATTGCAATGACGTTAATACAAGGTATATTGTGCAGTGCTATTATTTACCCCGTTTAATCTAGTGCACTAAGAGGAAGTAGAAGATGTGTACACAAACCCAGGCTGTATAACCATAATCTGCTGCTTGTTTGGCCCTAAAGCTAAATGAATTCAGATGCGACAAACCTCAGACTCCAGGGAACATGTGACTTAGTATTTTCACAATACAGTCGCTGTAAAAAACAGCACATTTCTGGGTTTGATTTATTCCAAATGGGCGAGCTTAAGCAGCCACTTTCTGCAGAGAAAACAATTCTGGTACAAACATTGGATCATTTTTGCACAGAGGGTAGAATTTCTTGGCATCAAATGATCAGATTTAAAGTCACTGAACACTGGGTCAGAAGGTTGAACGGTTCAAACAATGACTGAAAACTAATCCTGTCTGAACCGAGCGGTGTAGTTTATATTGATACAAGTGCTGACAGTGCTTAGCTCTTATTCCAGTAGTGTAAAAGAGGACTGATGGTCAGTTAACCTGTTGCTCAGGGGGGGGTGATGGCCTGCTGCTCCTCCTCCTGTCCCTCCTCCTCCTCCTGCTGCTCCTGCTCCTCCTCCTCCTGCTCCTCCTCCTCCTCCTTCTCCTCCGTGCTCACACTCCCGTCCAGATCAAAGTCCCGGCTCTGCCCGCTGTTTGCTTGTTCTTCCTCTCTGAGGTGATTGCTGGCGTTCAGAGCCGTCTCAGCGGCGGCCGCGGTGGAGGTGTAGTGATCGTCAGCGATGGCGATCTCCTCGTTCTCCTCGGCCTCCAGCAGGCTCTGGTTGAAGCGCAGCGACCCCTTCAGGATGTCTTTGATCTGATGGGATACGAGCAACGTGCCAATGTTACAGAAACCAATGAACATGTAGAGAGTATGTATTCCAAAACATATCACAGACATTACTGTGAGTTTGCTCACTGACCTGTTTGAGTCCAGCCAGTGAAACTAGAACCTCGTCCTCCTTCTCCAGATGCTCTTGGAGAATCACTTCCTGGATTTTACCTGTGGAGTAGTAATAAGCACCACTAAGCTATGCAACCAGCTACAACATACCAACAATAAATGATATTAACAAATTGGAAAACATTTATTTGAAAACCTTCCCTAAAAAAGAATCTAGTGCACTATATCATAAATTAAACGTTATATGGATTTTGTCAATTGGATTGGTGCATTTCAAGGGGGGAAAAAAAGAGTCCATACCATAGGTACTAATATCTCAATTTAATCAGACGAATACATTGCAAAAGTATCCATGATAAAGAATTTTTTTTTTAAATGTAGTCAAATACATAACAAAAAATAAAAGGAATATTTAAGTTTAAAGGTGGGGTAGGTAAGTTTGAGAAACCGGCTCGAGATACACTTTTTGTTATATTCCATGGAATGCTCTTAACATCCCTATAGCAATGAATATCTTAAGTGCTTTGACAAAAAATCCATAAAAAAAATGTCATCTGTGGAAGCCGTAATACTGTAAAAAGCTGAATGGCCTACCTGCCTGTCAGCCTTCCATCTGTGCACAAAGTTATCTCGTGCCCTCATTGGTCATGTGCGCGTTCGTGTGTGTTGGAGGGGCTCTATAAGGAAGTGGCAGATTTTCTCCGGTTGTGTATTTTCAAATTCTAGCGATCTCGAGCCGGTTTCTCAAACTTACCTACCCCACCTTTAAGTTGATGAACTGCTTAAATCAACTTAAATACATCTAAATTAAATGTTGGATTTACTTGTTTAGGACACGAACACATGAATATTCAAACTATAAAATAACTAACAGCGTTTAAGACAGTGTGTTGAACCGACTATGTTTTAGATCCTATAAATAAACATGGAGATTTGACTGTCGTCTGTTGCTGGTGTCGAGTTTCTGTACTCACAGATGTGAGAGTTCATCATCTTGCCGCAGTATTTGCTCATTGCCTCCAGGTCATTGATCTGGCCCTGCAGGAACGACACCTGAGCTTCCAGGTCCTCCTCCTGTTGACAACACACACACACAGACACACACACAGACACACACACACAGACACACACACACACAGACACACACACACACAGGTGAAAAAGAGACAACAGAAGCAGAAACAAACAGAAGCTTGGCAGGCAGAGGGAAAACAAAGCCACAGAGGAGGGATTAGGGTTGTATCTGTAGAGAGACGAACAATAATATGACAGACACAAAGACACGGAGACAGTCTGTCAGAGAAAAACAAAGACATTAACGATAAGAGAAAGACAGCAGGAAGAACATCTCACCGACTCTTTCTTGCCCATGCTCTTGCTGTGTGAGCGAGAACGAGTGATGTTGAAGAAAGAGTCTTTCTTGGTGGCGGAGAGGGGAGGAGATGAAGTGCTTACATCACTCCCGACGGAGGGGGGGAGAGGCGGGGAGGCGGTGAACTGAGCGCACCCAGCAGAGAGGCTCTCTATGCTGGGAGAGGAGCTGACCGTCCTGGAGCTCTGGCCTGCAGGGAGGACAGGAGATTCATATTAACACAAAACAAATGCGCATCATTTTCAATCACAAATACAAAGATATGATCTCAGAACCGACATTTTTTTAACAGTGTTATACAGCTTGAGCAATGGCTGTTCATTCTTGACTCCGGTCATATGTGTCATAAAATAATGTATCATTATGACCATTTGTGATTCTTTCTAAATAAATAATTTTGATATTTTATATTATACAAGCCATTCCATTTCATTAAGGAGTAGTAGGGTACGACCAGGATATGCATCCTCCAGCGTGCAACAATTGGAATGATTATAAAACCTAAAATCCAAAAGTTATATGATAAAATAAATCAAAAACAAATAGATTAATTACATGTGTTTTTTGTATTATGTATAAATAACTGAAAATGTAAATAGAAATGCTAAAACTTTTTAAACTTAATTTCCGATGTTTATTAATTGATAATTAAATTGCAAATGTTAAAATAGTTTTTTAAACGTGTATTATTTGAGTATAATCTAAAGTTATTTAAAGGCTCAATGGTTGACTCTGGACAAGAGGAAACCATGTGTCATTTCATTTGTCTTTATAAAAAGGCAAAGAAAACACTTGCAAACACATGCCACACAACAACAACAACATTCACAACACACACAGACTTCAGCATATTGTATGGTCAAAGCAATGCTGGCAACAATTGCCATAATTCCTCCAGGATGTTTATGTTATCAGTTCAATTTCCACTGATCTATCTATCTATCTTCACACCACCACCATCACCAAGAAAGCTCGACAGCGACTCTTCTTCCTCCGCAGGTTGAGGAGGTTCAAAATGGATCCCAGGATACTCTGCAACTTCTACAGGTGCACGATAGAGAGTATCCTCACTGGCAGCATGACGGCCTGGTACGGCAGCTGCCCCGACCTCGATCGTAAGGCTTTACAGAGGGTGGTGAAAACTGCACAGCACATCACCAGGACGGAGCTGCCATCCATGGAGGACCTTTACTCCCAGCGGCTCAGGAAGAAATCACTACGGATTATCAAAGACCCCCATCACCCCAGCCACAAACTGTTCTTTCTGTTGCCGTCTGGCAGACGTTACCGCAGCATCCTGGCAAGGACAAGAAGATTCGGAGACAGTTTCTTCCCGCGGGCAGTGAGACTGTTAAAAAATTGAACTGTTGAAACAACATCAAACATTCATCTGCTACTCAGTAGTATGTATCTAATACCTAATATATATATATCATTCCAATAACTTGTATATAGACTCGTACTGCACTATTCCACATCATAACTTTATTTCATTTTTATAACTATTATTATTTTTGTATTGCTCATGCTCTTATTGTTATTATGTTATTATGTTGCATTGTTGGAGAAGCCTGTGACATAAGATTTTCAACTGCATAATTACTCTGTAGCTATGTCAGATTGACAATAAAGAACCTTGAACCTTGATCTGGATAGCTGTGATCTCCCTCTGCTGGTCAAAGTGTACCATGACATGTTCTAAAGTCCACTTACTGTCCTGACTAGCTGCTAATAGAGCAGCAGGAAAGGTGAATGAAAACTTTGTGTGCAGACATGTTACCTTGTGTGTCAGTGTGAGTCTGGGCTGGAAAAGCAACCTGAGACACTTCCCCTGAAACTACATCTAAAAGACAGGAGAGTCAAAGCTGATGCTGCCACACACACACACACACACACACACTCTAATATTATCCACACCCGAGTTAATCGTACATGCAGTTACATTGTAACCGCAAAAAGCAAATGTCACGCTGCTCACCTTTGCTGAGGTGGACCGGCATGCTCTCGGACTTGAGCAGACGGTAGTGCTGGTTCTGGACGTGGCTTGGGGTCTGCGGGGGGGCGTGGCCTGAAGGGGGGTCGGCCAGCGGGTGAGGCAGGGCGGGCGCTGACCCCAAGGCGGGGGAGGTTGACGTGGAGGAGGAGGAGGAGTGAACCTCCGTGTTGATAGGCGAGATGCCGCTGGAGCTGCTGGATATGGCCGGAGCGATGAGCTTCCTGCCGAAGCTCAGCAGGCTGCTGGACACCTTGTTGATGTTCAGGGGCGCAGGTTTGGAGCCAGAGCTGGGAGAAGAAGATATATAATAACAAATCAATTCAAATAAAATAAACATAGTTTGATTGATTGATGCATGTTAAGGTTAATAAGGAAACAATAGCCTAGAGAAGGGGAAATTAGCAGTGGGTCTTTCCATGTTTCAGACTCTTATTAGATGGTTGATACTTCTTACTGCCACACTTTTAATATTCAGATTTATTCCATACAGGATTTGTTGTTTTCTGTTCATAAATGAAGCCTCACTTTCCGAGACTTGAAACTTGAGTGATTAGTTTCTCTCACAGTGAACGATTTATCTCCTTTATGCTTTTCGGTGAAGTTGTATAGTTACAAAATTGCGAGCAGAGGCCATTAATGAGGCTTTAATGGCCTCGTCTTCTTGGCTCTCTCAAGACTTGAACGTATGCGCTAAAGAGACCAATTTTGCCAAAGCAGTTGAAAATTGCCACTTAATTGCTGTGATCAAAAGTTATAAAACTTCAAAGATACAAAACGTAGGAACTCAGAGTATTCACTGTAATGGGCTGCCAATCTCATGCATTTTTCAAGCCTCTGTTAAATGATTTCTGCTTGGCACTGAAAGGAAATGGAAGCTAGTTTAAACTTGGGTGGTAAGACCAAAGTACCTTGAGAATGGTGCATGGGAAACGTTTAGGAAAATTCAGTTCAAGGCACAAGGCAGATTTATATGTCTATTCATTATGCAAAGAAAACAAAGCTGCATGAGAACTGTTATAGAGACAGTATTAGCAGTGCGTTTAGCGACATTTTGGCAAAAAGATATACCCGTTTGTAACACATTGATGGATGGTTAAGGCTATGGTTATGGCTCTTTACACCGTTAAAAAAAGTAATCATATTGTAATCGGCTGTAAAAACAGTCTACAAGGGGATGAGGGTTTCAAATATTTTTTTCAGATAAAATGGGACAATTTCAAAAGGTTAAACTGACTTTCAATCTTGGGAGCGATAAACATTTGTGTGTGCATGTTGATTTTACCGTGTCTTGTTCATCAGGTCAGCTCCCCTTGTTTTATAGTAATCCAGGTTCTGCTGGAACTGGTAATTAACCGGTCGTGGATAGTTCTGTAAAAGTAGGGAAACACAAACATTCTTTAAATAAAAAGTCATTACAAATATCTGTGGTGTGCGTGATAAGCAGAGTAAACATGTCAGCCTAAAATCTGTGCATTTCTGACACAGTATATGCACGCATGACTACGTAAACAAGCAGATACATGTGCGTTTCTTAGTCACCGCATATGAGCAACGAGCCCGTTTCCATCTCAACCCCCAACCTGCCTGTCATTATGGATGATGCCCCCCCTCCAGGTGTCACTGTGATGGGACATGTTGTGACATGGTCGTTCATCTGGGGGAAACGCTGTCACGTTGGATCAGCTACTTCCTGGATTATCATCCCAGGACAGTTGTTGTGTTTGAGTGTATGGGTCAGTGAACTTGCAGGAAGAACAGAAAATGGTTTGTGGTGTTCGCTAAGGTCAAAAGAGAACTCATGTCTGAGCCCTCATTCATTCACATCAACAGATAGTTTTTATATAAAAGGTAGAAGGAAGAATGTAAGCCTGCTGTGTGTGAGGAGGAGTGACAGAAAACATGGCGTCTGATATGGTGTGTGTGACTAGAGTAACATTGAAACAAGTGTATGACAGGAAATGCTGACGACTGTAAGATATGGTAATAAAAAAGAGGAATCAGGATTTATTACATCCGGTACAGAAATTCTCAAGGTGTCGACACAGAGTCACACTTTCCATCTGTTGCAGTCACAACGGTCTAACATTGCAAATGATAATTACATCATTGCAATAGGCAGAAGTTACATCAATTAGTCTTCGAGTTCAGATTGGCAATTTAACCCTCCAACACTCGGCTGTCGTTTTATTTCTAGAGATATTTTGGGGCCAGAAAGTGTTGAGACAGTGTTGGGGGTGACATCCGGCAGCTTGTGGTCTATTTCTTTGCTTGAAATGTTACCATATTCACGGCTTTTACATGAATTATTTACAGCTTTGAATAATATTTTCGTTGCGTTTATGAGCAACTTTTAATAGACTCATAATGCCTAAACTGAAATGTTTTATCCTTTTAAAATCACTTAAGACCAAGTTCCTTAAAGGTCACCTATCATGCTATTTTTAGGTAATAGCATAGGTCTCAGATATATAAATATATATAAAAAACATGTCTATGAAGTGTTTTGCTCAAAATACCAAACAGATCACCCATTCTAGCCATGCCTCATATCCCTCTATTTCACTTCCTGTTTCAAAAGTGCTGATGTTTGGGTATAAAGCTTTAAAAAAAAGAAAAAGGAGGGGGCTGAGCTCATGCGGGACCCGGCAGCTACCGTCTAAACTAAATACTGCCGTGATGAAATGCCATATCATGGATGATCAAGGATTATTTCTGAAACAGTATGGAGCTCAAAGGCTTTCTCTCTTGCCGGTTATACCACAAGGTGAGTTCCTTTTTATTTCCTGCTTCTTCACACACATGCTCTCCAGTACAGGTTAGCTCTGAGTGTTAGCGATGCTAATGTAAACACCGATCATATTACGTCCAAAACAGTCGGGCATTGTTTCTGATTGCAACGTTTCTGATAGGGCCGTGGGTGTAAAGCCAGCCTACATTTCCGATATTACGTCATATCGGACGCAAATCTGGATCAGCTCCGTTGTACCCCCGTTTTTAGAGATTTGGGTACGGAGGAAAAAAGAGAGGGGTTATATTTTCTGACGCTGCGTGAGTTCCCCGACACACCGGGGACACATATTTATGTATAAAAGACATAAAAAAGTGCATTTTGCATGATAGGTCCCCTTTAAAGATAAGTGTTTATGTATTAAACAGGTGGGGAAAATGACAGGTAAGAAAAACTATATTTTACAGGTACATTTGTCTACATTTTGAACAAGATTTAAAAATCTTTATTCAAGTGTTAAACACAGTATAAAAGGAAGAGTATCTAACTTCCTGTCTCATTAACTGGTTCATTGCCTGCACCTGTGCTTTAAGTATTTACAACAAGTGCTTCATCACTAATCTGTAACCACTGAAGTGTGACGCACTGGAAAAAAAGCAGCTAATTTTAACTTCCCTTGTTACACCCGAACACTTTTTCACAGTACACTGAGACTTTTTGGTTTACACTCCATGGTGTTTGAGGTGTGTGTTTAGTGTTTCACTTCTGCAAATCTTCCCCCCCTCTGCAGAAACAACAAATCCTATTAGAGAAGTATCTCAGCTGCTTTGAGAACTCAATACTTCTCACTTTTTAACTTGACAGGCATGATTAACTTGTGACAGGCTTAATCAGAGAGCTTAATATAACACAACAAAACTAGAAGACATACAGCAAGAAAAGTATAATTACTTATGCTAGTGTGGCTGTTTGCTTACCTTTGGATCTCGGAGGAAAAGAGCCTTCTGCAGCAGGGAGCTGATGTCTCCTAAAGGAGGGTAGTGCATCAGCAGGCCCAGGCAGGTCTGGAAGTTACTAGCAATGACTGAAACACACAATAAACAATACACACATTATGAAGATGTAGTTATTTGATCGAGAGCTAACCTATTCATGTTTAATGATCAGTCTTTGCTACCCTTATGACAAATGTTGGCTAATGAGAAAATGCTGCCCATCTGAGTATGTTCAACCGCAATATGAGGACTAACTTTGCAGAAGTGCGCCATATTTCTCAGAGCAAACTAGGCTTTTTTCTGCGAAGGGGGTCTTAAAGAGACAGGCGCTAAACAAAGGTCAAATACTGGTATATTCAAACCGATAGTAATATTAAAATAATGTGTTTTTGACACATTATAGCATGTCGATGTTATAGAAAAAAACCAAGTACGATTATGAAAATGAGAGCAATAAACCTCCTTAAAGCAGAGACGATGTTTTCTGACATTAGGCCTTATCTTCCATCAAGTATGGCAGCAAAGATCTACAAGTATTCTATTCAAAGCAATATCTGATTAAATGAGGTGGAATAAATCAAATTCTTCCAGTTAAGTGTTACTTGTGAAATCACATGCTGCAAAGACAACACATGGCGTTATTGGATTATATCAGTAATAAACGCAGCGTACGAGCGTCTCGGATGTAGAGCAGCATGGCCACAAAGATGTAGTCCACCAGGTCCAGGGTGATGCTGTCCGCAAACAGAGCGTCCCACATCACCAGCAGGTCCTGCAGCGGGAACTCCCGCCCGAAAAGCAGACGTACCCACCGGCTGCAGGAGAGACAGACAGAGAGAGAGACAGAGAGAGAGACAGAGAGACAGAGACAGGGTAATGTATTTGTGTCCATCTGAGGGTCAAAGTATCAAACGCACTGAACTCCAGATACTGACATGCCGTAGATCTGCGGGGCGATCTCCAGCCGGTTGACGTGCATGTGCAGTTCAACATCGTGCTTCTTAACCAGCTGGTCCTGGATGCGGTTCACTTTGGTCACTATGGCAACAGATGGCCCCGCGTCCTGGGGCCGTGCGAACGGGATGCTGGTCAGCATCTCTTCCTTACCCTGCAGCAGGAGACCATTATGTGGTTAGCTTAGCATTATATAAACAAACGTTAGCACCATCTGTGTCCATATGGTCAATTCTTACCGGATAGGTTGAAAAGCAGGAAGAGTGACAAACACAAGGTTTCTATTTAGGAGGACGTACAACTGTTTAAGTTTGAACGCATTTTATATTAAGACAAAATGTGCAAATGCTATCATTTTAATTGGAAAATGCATTCAAGTTTCCATTCAATCAAACAACAATTTGATACTATTTATGGCCGGCATTTCACCAAAAGCCACTTACTTTATTGCAATCAGTAATTGTTTTGCTGTACAGTTTTTTTGATTATTAGTAGGATAGTCTTTATATTACCACTTTATGTTCTCTCTCCTACAGTAAAGTCATGACAGAGCTGTTAAGTCACTTCTAATGTTAACCCAACATTTCCTGTTACTGCTGAGTCAAAATATCCGGCAAAACATGGATAGCTCATATTGTTGAACAGTCACAGGAAATGCATGTATTTGTAAGCACGACCACTTATTAGAACTGAGTTTGCTGAATAAGACAATGGGCATTCGTGGCATTTCTTTGACAGTGAATATGTTTTAAATATTGCATGGAGTTACGGATAAAAACCACTACTCACAGTAATCATTTCGATACTCCAGCTTCTCTACAAGATAACAAACTAAATCACTGTGCCCTGCTGTGAAATTGCTTGCAATAAGCGCAGCAGAAAATCAGATCACAGTCGAAATTATTATTGACATACTTCTTTATGAAAACAACACGAGTCTATTTGGCTGTACAGTAACTAGATACAGCAGAAGCTCCACGGCTTTATTTCGTGTTTGGTGTAGCATTACATCGCACTTGCTGTTGCCCTGGTAACCAAGGGTTGTTGTCACTTCAACCAGGAGTGAAATCTCAAGGAATATAACTTAACCTGCCAGAATAGTATAATGTCATGTCTTTTTTCGCAGTTATTATCGCGCAATAAACTGATTATGTGTAACAAAGCAGAATACATTATTGTATTTAGAACGTCAAAAGCAGTTCTTCACATCACACTCACCCTCCTCACTTCCCTCTCGTAGCTGGAGAACCACGGCTCTGCTGTCTCCATCAGCTGAGAGAACAAGGCACTGTAGACAGAGGTGTGTGTTAGGGCTGTGCAATTAAATCGTATTTTAATCGCAATTACGATTTTGGCCTGCCACAATTACGAAAACAACATAATCTAAAAAACCGATTATTTTGCTTTGCTAGGTTGTGACAGTGCACTAATTTATTTTGGTCTAATTTATTTGTATTTATCATATTAATATATGTTTAGTAGCTTGTGGAAGTGCGCTCCAAAATATTTGTTGATCTTGTTTATTGGTATTTATTATTTTGATATTATTTATTTAAATGTAAATGTATCATTTATTTTTGTATTGGTTCTTCAGTTGAATTATACGTTCAGGGTAATCAACAGTTCAAAAGAGACTGTTCAAATTATTATTTGTATTTGTTTTAAAGTTCAATAAATGGATGTTTTTAAAGTCAATGAATAATCGTATTTAATAATCGTGATATCAATTATTGACCAAAAAAAAGTGTGTGTGGAAAGGAGACATAAGGAGAGATAAATAATGAGCATACTGTAAAATAAAAACAGAGACATGTGAACCAATTCCAGTTCCTTGAAAAGTAATGACATTTTTGAACATGAACACCTGTTTCACATGCAATATTGGGAGTGTACTCACTAGGCATCGTGCTCAAGATACTCTGGGTTCAGAAGACTCTTCATCTCCTCACTGTGGAAAAATAAAAATGGATCTCAAATAAATGCAGAAATATCTTTCCCTCCTGAACAAGCTGCTAACGTAAAAGCAGGTCTAAAAAGTGTTCAAGGCCACTTAAAGGTCCCCTATTATACTGTTTTTCATCAATATATTACAGGTCTCTGATATATACGAAACATGTCTCTGAAGTGTTTGGCTCCAAAAACCAAACAGATCATTGCAGCATCCCATAATCCCCTCTGTTTCAGCCCTGTTTCAAAAGTGCTGATTCTCTGTCTGTTACTTTAGATGAAAATAATAAATAAGAATAATAATATCTCTGAGAGATATTTGGTTAAAAAGAACACAATGGTACTCTAGGAGGAGATGCAGGTGATAAGGTGGGGGGGGGGGGGGGGGGGGGGGGTTACCTTGGTTGGTTATTGGCTAATGGTTACACAAGCCAAAAAATCGTTATGACATCATAAAGTGACCAAAATCTGATCAGCTTATTTTCAGACAGGTTTTTATATAAATGGATCAGGACAAAAAGTGAGCGAATCTTTTTTCCTAAAACTTTCAGAATCTCTTTACACAGAGGGGACACATGTTTATGTATACAATATATGAAAAAATTGATTTTGCATGATAGGTCCCCTTTAAGGGTGAAATATTGGGTTTCCCGGCTGTGAGGATCTGACCTGGGGCTGGCCGTCTCGCTGGCATGCTGGAAGGCTTGGTGGTCGCAGTGCAGCACGAAGACGAGGGGGGCCAGCAGCTCGTGCATCCCCTGCAGAGAGAGGAGGAGGAAGAGAAAGGCTTAGAGAGGCCGGGGGGATAGAGGAATTATGGTTCATTTGTGGTCCGTCTTTCTTTAATAGTGATGCACGAGCTTTCTAATCTGTGATGACAGCTTTAATTTAGATATCGTTAGCCACTAGCCGGCCATGTGTCACTTCCAGTTTGTGAAAAACAGATGCTGTGCTTGTCTATTCTTTCGCTGGCACCTGTTACAGAGACTGATAATGATTAGGTTACAAAGGTATTTTCTTTTGTCCCACTGGGCACTACACACACAAATAAACAGATATGCTGAGATTAACAACACAGTTGGAAAACCCAATCAGAGACATCAAAGGATTCATTTTCAAGGACCTTTAAGAGAAAACAAAGATGTCTGACTTTTTAATTGAATCTCCTAAAAGAGCAGTTGGGACAATGTGTCAGTCGTACCTGTTTATACAACAACTGTTCGTTTTCTCTGGCGTAACAGAAGAGGATGTCCGTCAGCATGGTCCTCACATCGCCGTTCTGGAAGTAACGGATCTCTGGGAACCTGACATAAATGGAAACAGTACAGAATTAATTGCATTTTTTGTGGAGGCCGAAACGCTTTCAGGTGAAAGGTAATACAATTAAAATAAACAAACAGAATGGTGATACTGACGTTCTCAACACGTCCTGTTTGATCATCCCCTTCAGGTCTTTGTCTTGGAAGAACCTGTTCCACAGGCTCTGGAAAGGAAAGGACAAAACAAGACATAAGTGAACAAATACTATTCAGAAATCTGGGGCATTTGAGGAACCACTTTGATGATACAATAATTACAAAAACAACCGTTCTGTGAGTGACTGGAAAAAGTAAGACAATAGAAGATCGATGAATTAAATAACCTGTCCAGTAACACAGTTTTCTAAATCTGTTTTCTACAACTTTCCTAAGCAATAAGACCATTTTTCACTTTTTGGTTGATGGAAAAATAACAAACACACTATGCTTTGGTGCATTTATTTGCCTTTTGTGTATTTGTGTGTCCAATGTCTTGTTTTGCAATTTCTTCTTGATTTTCTTCTTTGAGGTCTCAAAATAAGTACTCCCCCTGGAACATTCTGAGATAGTCATTTGCATTTAGGTATTTGTGATGAATGAATACATTTAAATATTCATTAATTATTGTAAACCTCATATCCTTTATTTACTTAAAACCTTGACTTCAGACAGTTTTTTCGTGTTTAGAAAACTTGCTGTGTATTACAAAAGATTATATTAAATATCCTACAAACTTCCCTGGATGGCCAGTCATAGCTCTTGTTTACTCTCTGTTATTAACAGTGTGGCTTTCTGAGTCACACAATCACCATCAAGTGGTAAAGCGCCAGGCAGATTAATTGGGTGATGAGAAAAACTAAATTAGTTTTTCAATGTTTATAAACACTTTATTAATAGCCTAACCCAAAATCTGTTAAATGGCTTCATAATTACTTCTTAAAAAATCTGTTAATGAATCAACACGAATAAATCACTGACATGGTCTATAATTATTGCAACACAGTCTGTGAATGCAGTGGGGTCACATTTCGCCTGCAAATATGAAGCAACTGACCCCCTCATCCTGGGACAGCGGGTTGTTGACCACCAGGTCCTGGCCGGCAGCCTTACGAGGGTTAGTGATGTGCTGCAACAACATAAGAAAGAAATACCAACAAAAATGTCAACAACAGACATCAGAACAGTGACATGTTTATTCCTAGAACAGCTGCACTGCTACACATGCATGACCGTACTGTGACCTGGGTTTCCTCAACTATAGCAGCACATACTTACTACGTTTTAAATGTTGGTGGTGGCATAAACAGTGAGTAGTTCCTCAAAATAATTAATAATATTATACATTTTATGGTCTGGGTGCCCTGTTATCTGTGTTCATATACGTGTAAAACACAAAATCAATATGGCCTGCCATCCATAATATAATATATATGATGTTTGTCCCTTAGGTTAGGAAAGAACTAGGTCAATAAACTATTAAACACACTGCGCCAGCTTCCTGGAATAATGGACTGAAAGACCTGAAACTGTCAGAGCTGATCGTATAGAGAAATATAAAAATCCATCACTCTTGGTCAATGCGATTGCTCCTAAATCTTTAACTGACATCATTAAAGTTACACCTATTTTGATGCATTATGTCAGTTTTTTTGTATAGCATATTAACTGGATATTGTGCTCATGCATTTGTAGTGCGTTGTATTTGTCTGTTTGTATAGGTTGTGATGATGGTTGTAACAATGCTTATGCTTCATTCTTGTCCAGGCCACTCATGATAGAGATTTTGTTTCTAATTGGGCTATTACTAGGTTAAAATAAGACATCATTAATAGAATCAACAATTAATTTAGACTACCATATGTGGAAAACAGAATAAAGGATCATGTAGTAGGCTGAAATTCTCCTGCAACTGTATGTATTTCCCCATGATGCTGAGGGAAACGGCCACACAGCGGCGCTCTCACCGTCTCTTTGATCTTCTCATACCGGGCCCGGAGCTCATTGGTCTTGTTGATCCACTGACCCTTATCTTCGGGAAGAGCCTCCAGGTACAACTGCACACAGGTTAGCGCACTCTTAACATTCATATGACACTTTCCGAACTAAACTCTAGGCTGCTGTTTCCAACAAAGAACTCTGCAGGCTGCCAGAACTGCCAATTGCAGGGAAATTGCCAAAGCCACTTTACATCAAACTGAAAAAGCACTGCTTGATCCACTCGGCACTTACCTTCCAGCACACGCTCCGAAAGCGGCTGCTTCTCAGTCGGCCGTTGATGCCTGCCTGCCGGATCCTGGCCAGGTAATTACTGTTGAGGAACAAGTCGTCCCATTCTTTCCTGGGCAGGGGAGGGGAGGGGGGGGGGGGGGAGGGGAGGCAGAGGACAAGGAGATTTATGAGCTTCTCAACCCAAATTGGGCTCGGTATTCCATCTAATGTGTCATCCAGCACTAAAGCAGGAGGCTGGAGCAGTGAGCCGGGCCAAGAGTTGATGCTACACCCACACACACACATACACCGGAAAGTACTGGAAACACTCACCTGTATGAGAGGAAGGTTGACTGAGACTGTGAGTAAGTGCTGCTGTCAAGAGAGCCTCCTGTTAAGGCACACACACAGCGACCACAAGGGGGGGATGTTACCAAGTGCAAAGGAGTGGAAATTAATCATTTTAAAAGATTTATAAACAAAAACATAACCTTTGACAGCTAACATAACAAGGAACACGCCTGTTTACTCTTTCCAAATGACCCATCAGTCATTTTTTTTTTTCTGTAGCGTTTCAGAAAAGAGCCAGAAGCAGGGCAAGTGACGACAATGAGCAACGCACCATCCTCCTCTTCCTCTTCATTGGCGGTATTAAGTCTAATTTGGCCTGCAGGTGAACATGCATTCAAGTCGGAGAGCTGTCTATCAACATTAGTTACAGGAGTGGATCGTTCCACAGGGACACTCAGCATGAATATTCATCAGTTCCACAACATGCCAGCCCACAACATCCCCTCTCTCTCGCACGTAAACATAAAAACACCCTCAGCCCCAGGGGCGTCTCCTGCCACGTCCGTGACTCACACTGTGGAGTCAAATTTATATTTGATCATCTCCAATCTACTGTAGAACTTCAAGTTTCACTTTATGTCGTGTTTTCCGGTCAGAGCCTTAGAATGCGTGCTTGCTTTGAGTGTAAGAGCTGCTTTCATGAAGGGATTTAACAAAATATCTAGTGCCTGGTTCTTTAAAATGTTAACACAAATCCATTAGAGAGGAATTAGGAACTGTATCAGCACAACATAATTCAATGTTTTTTTCTCCACAGGTTGTGATGGAGGGTTTAAATCCTAATCTACAGTAGTTGTGTATCAGGGTTGACGTACTGCTGCGGTTCTTGTTGAAGTTATTGAGCGGGTCGAAGCCCGTCTCCTGCTGCTCGTCGGTCTGGAGCGGGTGGCGGGTCTCGAAATTGGGGTGCTGCATGACCGCAACCCAGCCGGACCTGGAGAAAGTGAGACCAGAGAGGAAGCAGGAAAAAGGAAGTAAGAAACCAGGATTAAATCTGAGTTTAGTGCAACAAATCAGCTAGAAGATCAGCTGGACCAACGTGGGTTATGTGAAGCAACTCGGAGAACAATCCAAAAACTCAAAATGTCAAAGCACAATAGCTCTACTGATAAGGAAACTGACCTTTGATCAGGGCTTGCAATTGATCTGCAGCTTAAGCTTTCCTGAGCAGCAGTGTTATTCTGACCCTGACCTTTGACCCCCTTGTAGGAAGGGTTGCATGTCAAATCCATCCACATCAATCTCTGCACTGCATTTCCCCCTGCCATTAACATTAACACGGTTGAACTGCTTAAACTCTGGACTTACTGTCACAGCCTCGTGATTCTCCTCCGCCAAGACTCTGAAGAAAAGGGTGTCTCTGTAGAAAAAAAGAAACAATAAAATGTAAGCACTTCAGCTCACAGGGAAGTAAAGAGAATGGCAAAGAAAATCGTGAATTGTGTGAAGAAAAAAAGAAAAAAATGATGTGGTGTGTATCACCTTTATATATATCCTGAAATAGTAACTTCATTTGCATAAAGCTTTGACAACTACTTCACTCTAACCCAAAGTTATGACATTCAAATTTGATATGAAGACATGACATAAATCTCCATCAATGCTTTTCTCTGAGTACAACTAATAACTTTGGTCACACTATTTTCTGCATCGTGAGGATCAAACTGTTTATTTACCTTTTGCATTTAACACATTTAAAATGAAAGAGTGACAGTGTTTGCCGTCAGTGGCTTAAATGAACATGAAGCACTTGAGCTGCCTCGCCATGCTCACTGTGATATATTAAACATAAGCGGTAATGCTAATGAGGTAATCAAGTAGGTAAATGAATGCATTCATTATATATTTTAATGACAACAGACTGTTCTTCACAATACACGTAAACAATATCAACTCTGAATGAGGAGTTCTTAAAGAACTACAGTTTAAAAAAAGAACAAACAATAACAATAAAAACATTTTCTATTTATATTGATTGGAGCTGTCGATTAGTCATAAAACAGCTAATAGGCTAACGTGTGGCTATTTAGCTTGAAAATGCTTCATACTAACTGCCTAAATGTCATTATATACACATATGACGTGTTGCTAAACTGACTATTTTAAGCAAATAAGACATGTTTCCTTGGGCTTTGTGAAATCATAATGGCAGTTACTCACTATTGTCTGAGTTATTATTAGATATACTTCTAATGGATTCATCAAGAACATAATTGACAGATTGTTAGATAATGAAAATAATTTGTTGTTTGGGGCCTTAGGAGTTGCATCAGACAAACTGCACATTGTGAGGGAGATGGGGTAAATGTGACAATTTATAAAGATTAGGTTACAGCTCAAATTAGGGCTGCTCGATTATGGCAAAAATCATAATCACGATTATTTTGGCCAATAATTGATATCACGATTATTAAAAACGATTATCCATTTACTTTGAAAACATCAATTTCTTGAACAACAAATGTTGAACAGTATGTTTTTAGCAGTTGATTACCCTGAACTTTAAATTAAAAACATTTTTTTATTAAAAATAATAATCGTTTTATTTTGATTACGTTGTGTTCGTAATCGTTGCAAGCCACAATCGTAATCGAGATTAAAATACGACTAATTGCACAGCCCTAGCTCAAATCGTGCATTAGGCAACAGGAAGAGCAGGATATCTTTAAAACTCAATAATCAATAGTAATGGTTTTTAGCAGATAAACCCGGCCAACTTGTCTTTGCCAACAATCCCAGCTACGAGAAAAGTGTAACTTTCTCTGAGATATCTCTATCTAGGTTAAACAATACTTCCCCGGTTCTTTATCCGGCTTGGGATTATTCCACGTTTATGAATATGGTTAGCCTAATACACAGGCCTTCGGAATAGCACGCTTTCCGCAGAGCATTATGTTTCCTGCCGCTTTATTAATTGTGGAAATAACACAACAAAGGCATCTCTTAAACCTATTAACCATGTGAAAGGGACACCGCTGGATCAATCAGCTATGCATCCCATCAAAATAGAAATAATTGTATATGCATAATGTATGTGTCTGTTTGCTTAGGAAACATCTGTTCTCCTCAAAGAATAATGCTCTCCTTAAGTCAGAGGGGTTTTTCTCCCTTCCCTCATAATAAGGATATCATCCCATTAAATAATCAGAACTAATCCACAACTATAGCGAAAGACAGAGGAGTGGTGTGAATAGGTATCTACAATAATAGCCATTTGTCTTAGTTCTCCTTTGAAAGGTTGCCATTAAAAGATGTATGAAACTCTCCTGAGTAATTACAAATATAACAATAGTCACCTTAAATGTGCATTGCAGAGTGTCTAAAAATATGTTCAGGTACATTTTCCCTACAGGCCCGCAAACACATCCAGCACTTTGTCCCTTTTTCTAAAAATAAAGTCAATTTAAAGTTTCTAAAGAGGCCTTCTCACATCTCTCACTGCTCCCTGTGCTTTGAGGATGTCTTGTGTGTGTAAGCCTCTGTGAAAGATGATGTGGTTAAAAGACCCGAGGCCTTGCAGTGTTAGCGATTCTTGCCTGAAGCTAGTTTTCTGCTAGCCTACTGCTGTCTTCATTACTTCTTCCCAGAGTCGACCGTAAAACGACATCCTAACTTTACTACATGATAATCAAGGCAAATTAGCTTCTGCATAATTTAATCCACAGCACCTGGAGACAGCTCAATAATTCAAATCACGAATCTTTCATGAAATAATAAAATCAATACATAATGAAATGCATAAATAAATCAACAGACAAATAACACTGCGTCCATCTGTTCGGAGGTAGAAGATGCGTTCCTGGGATTTCCAACAACAGCCCGTGAAGCTCAATCCAAACTGTAGCCATCCCATTACCATGTTACGAACATTAACATTTCTCAACCACTATCTTTCTCCAAGTTGTTGCCTCAAGCATGATTTCAAAGGAGCAAAGCTGATGTTTCGGGTTGTGTAAATCAAATTGGAAGCATATCAAAGTCAAGTCAACCAACAGTCAGTCTCCACTTCCTTCAATGAATCTCAATCGGTGCTACAAAACATATCACTTCCCTTTATATTTTAACAAACATTTAATCTCAAAGCAACCTAAAGAGGACGTATATGCTAATTTGAGGTTCATATTTGTATTTTGTGTGTCTACTATGACATGTTTATAATGTTCAAAAAGCTCTTTATTTTTCTCATACTGCCTGTGCTGCAGCACCTCTTTTCACCCTCTGTCTGAAACCAGAGCCCAGTCTGCTCTGATTGGTTAGCTGGCCAGCTCTGTTGTGATTGGTCAATTGCTTAGAGATGTCCTGCCCCTTAGCCTATCACGTACAATGTATTGGAGCGCTAGCCAATAGAAGTGTGTGTGACGCATCTCAGTTTCATTACAAAAAGCATAAAAGAAACTCCTAAAAATGTTGCTAAATTTGATGCTTGAACTTCACTCTTGTTTCCCCACTTGATCAAAACCAAAGGCAAACATTACATTCTTGCGGGTCATGACTCATGAGATTATTTTACAGCAAGAGGGTTCATTTTAACACAGCAGAAAAGATGATAAATTAACTTCAGCTCTTATTCAAATTGCAGTGACAGGTTTTGTTTGTGAAACTACTGGATGACCAGATGCTAGAGATCTCACGTTGAAGTGGACAATAAGAAAAGTTTCAGTTTGCTCTGAGCTCATTGATCTAAAAGGCAGAGAGGCTAAACAAGTCTGAAACTAAACCCAGATTAAACTGTATTAAATGTGTTGCTGGAGGGTCTGCATATCTTTGTATAGACGTCTGACTAAATGACTGTACACATGTAGTTCTTCTGAAATAAACAGCTTGTTTGCAGCTCTGGAAAATATTCTGATGAAGATGACTACTTATTCATTGTATTAGATGAACAAGTCCACTAGTCTATTATTCCATTAACCTCTCTCAGAGCTGTCTGATGTGAAGTAGATTCAGAAAGAGAATCAGAACATGGGCTCTTCAGGATGAATATTCAAACAGGATTTTGTGGGTCGGTTTCTGGCAGTTGGAGCGGCAGATTGCAGTTTAGTCAAAGTGAAACACCCCAGCTAAACAAACTCACATGCCTTTACTTCTGCACACAGCAAGAGCCCAGGAGCCTTCACAGTCACATGCTCCACGAGGGGCTGGGAAACATGCTTGAGACCTCAACCTTGGCAAAATGCCGTGAACTTGCTGGGTCTTAACTGATCTGATTATCAAATACATGACAAGAGATTAAACCTGACAAATATATGTCGGTGTACAAAAACTAGAGTACAGATTCTAAACTGGGGTCCGGTCTATATCTCCACAAGAAGTCACGAGATAAATCTAAGGGGTTGTTAGATGATCAACAAGACGTTTTCAGACTAATCTTCGACTTTGCTTGTGAATTGCTAGATAATTTTGCCATTAAGGCAAAAGGATATTTGATAAAAGCTGCTCACACATCACAAACGTATGCAACAGTGCCGAGTGATCATGAGCACACATTGTTAGTAGGTCAAAAGCCAAGAAGGTAGGGAATAATTGCAACAGCGGAAAACCTGCAGTGCAAGAATGAAACGCTTAAAACATGCAGAAAAACTTGATACTTGTAGGAACAGCATAGGAGTTCAGAAAGTTTAAAAACAGTTCCCCATATGTATTAAATGTTATCTATTGTCTCCATACACAATAGACAGCTACTGTGCAGTCTGGGACGGTCACTAAAACACCTGATTTGTGCCTTTGTCAAAGTGTTTTTCCTCTCTGTCCTGCAGACATTCAGCCGATACTCTCCCTGCACACACGTATGTGCTGAACTGGTTATTGGAAGTGTGAAGACTTGTGTGAAACTGCATTAAACCGTGCAGGCAGGCAGGCAGTAAGTACTGACTATTACAAAACCTCTGCACTACCCTGAACACATCATTAAATCTGTCAGGCAGGGTGGGCCAGCCCGAGGAAAAAAGGCACAACACACTAAACCTGTCAAGAAGAGGAACCGTTTAGAAGCAAATTATCCAAAGCCAGCACAGACAATGTATTTGACGTAAAACACAAGCAGTGTCCGTCTTTTGTCATGCACATCGATGGTGATATCAACCATATGGATTATCGATGCCAGCAGTAGGGCAAAACGCCAAACAACAGCTAAGCTAGCTCATATCCTGCGTCGGCTAACAATGCTAAATGTAGGCTAAACGAGGTAAATAAACATACAATTGCAAGCTATAGTTATCAATGTTGACGGGAATGTGACTACAGATGTCAGGAAGCAGGTAATGTAAAGTGACTTTAGCAAGTTGTGACCGAGCCGATGCACGGGCCTGTCTGCACTTCCGACACACAGCTGCAGCAAGCCACGAGACACACTCGTAACACACACACACAAACACACACACCAACAGGCTGATATAAGTGTCAGTAACGTCACATAGCTATCCATAACCCACTGAGGGCTGACAGTGTGTCTCAGGTACCTGTAGGGATCACGCAGGTCTCCTCATCCTGTGTCTCTCGGACTGTCTGCTGATTTGTAAACAGTCGCGGGTCAGGCGGATGTGCTGAAGATCAGCTGACTGATCACGTGAACACAGAGTGAGGCTTGCTTTGCAGCGTCTCAAATGTAGGATACCTGCCTGCAGGGCTGCAGTAAGTGTAAGAAATGCCGAGACCTTTACATAAATTAAAACAATCTTCTTAAATAAGTATCTGGGTCTGTAGTAGTCATTTTTCAAATATGACTAAAAATGGCTGCCTAATCTTGTTTTAAGGCATTACACTGAGTTGTATGTAATCCTTTTAGTCTTTGTCTACTACACAGACTAAAATGATAAAGGGTTTGCATTTATATAGCAGTGTTGCAGTTTTACATACAAGTCAACATTAACTCATTCATTTAGCATGAGTTAATGTCACACAAGGGGCCGCCTGCTAAGGGAGACTATCCTTCACACACACTCACAAACCATTGATCATGCCAGGAGCAACTTGGGGTAAGTCTCTTGCTCAAGAATAAATGTAGATATTGGAATCAAACCTATCAAACCCATTTATCTATGAAACATAGTGTCACAGGGAAGTCCTTATTTACAGTATACAGTAGCTAAGCTATGTTGTGTCGAGACGGTCTGAAACATAAAGGAAATGAGGTGAGCATATTTCAGATAATTGACACCCCCTTATTAAAGCCCTACACTTGCCCTTTACTCTGTCCCCTCACAACTACATGTAAATCCTATCACATGTTTGAGGTTACTACGAGGATGTTCAACACTGTTAAGTTAATTTAATTACCCATTATCAGCACACTGTGGCTTTCAGGTTCCCATTTGTATCAATAATAAATTAGAATATTCCAGTTTTTAACAAAAACATTCATAGTTTGTGTCAATAAGAAAGAAAGTACGAAAGAGAGATGCATGCAAAGTTGTGTTGTATTACACTAACCAGAAGAAATACAACAGATTGACGGGGCTCTACAACATTAGGGTTAATTAATTTTATGGAGACTTAATTGCACAAAATCGAGGTCAGACAAGTCAATTTTATTTGCAAAGTGCTTGCATCAAAGACCTTCATCACAAAGTGTTGCCCCAAGGAAAAACTAGGACACAAAAACCAAGCAGCAGGATGGTCATGCAACAGAAAAAAAGCAGGTGTCCATGTGAAAAAAAAAAAAATGACATTAAAAAGCAATATTGAGTCAAACGTGTGCATTGGTGTGTGTGTTTGTGTGTTAGTGGGGGTTACCAGAAAGCAGACATAATGACCATCATTGCCATTACCATCATCATCATCGCAGGCATGGCATTTCAAGAGCGCCATTATCATCATTATTATAGCTAATATTGCTGATGATGAAGCTTTCATGGCCCCTTACTGGCCCAGACTTAGGTATCGTCATGGAAACAGATGACAGAAAAAGGGCATAGCTTTATTGAATTACTCTATGAAGATATTCTGACGAAATGGGGCTTGAATGTTGCACTATCAGAGAATAGTGGGGGAGCTGCACTGTGAAGAGTCCTGAGGAGAGACAGATGAGAGTCAGGGGTAGAAAGAGAGACGGAAACACGGATAGAAATAGCAACTTCGGAAAATAAAAGAATAAAAAGAGACAGATAGGAAACACTGTCAGCACTGAGGGGCATGTGATTGCAGAGACACAGATCCACTGGTACAGAGAGAGAGATCAGCACTGTAGAATATTGTCCCATGGATGGAAACAATGACAGCAATTCACCAACAAAGACGTAGTTATATAACAGAAATGCATCATCCCTAACTCTGGTACAGACTGTGGGCATCACAACGATTGATTTAATCTTTAATGGGTCTTTTACAGCTGGCTTCTGCTTGTCCTAAAATAGCAGTCTGATAAATGAGCTTCATCTCTTATTTACTTGTTTCGGAAAGTCTTTGCAGCATGATAAATCTCAAACGTCCCCAAATCCAATTCTATACATTGCTTACACACTAAATATAGTCAAAGTGCAAATATCATCTGCTGATATTTTGCGACTTAGGAGGAAAATAACCAGAGAGAAGGAATAGCACAATGCCCTCCAAGCTATCACAGCCTCTGTGTTCCCGCAGATTTTATCACATGAGGTTCAAATCGGAAATTCCTGGTAATAAACATTATGTCCCTGTTTGTGTGGGTGATGTTAAATAAATAAAATAAAGGGATTTCAAATGTAACATTTTACTTCCATCTCAAAACACATTTCTTTTATTTATCGCAGTGAAATTGTTTGTGAAAAAACCCGTTAAATCTGAATTTCACAATACACATACAGTAAAATAATGAATACGTCCTTATGTTGACAAATGATAGAGCTGACATTTGATGTACACACTGCACGTCTTCAGTCTCACACTTCTAGTCCACACCCGTTCTTTCATGAAGAAATATTGAACATCGTGCACTCCATACAGCACGCTTTGTGTCTCTGCTACAGTATGTAAATAAGAACAATATGACAACAGCAAGATGTGTAAACACTCCATAGCTATTTTGGGAGAGAGATTTTTAGGTTCATGCATAAACAGAAACATTGTATGTAAACTATGATGTGTTCAGGAGTGAATTAGATCTTTACAAACTCTGTGATCAAAGTTGAACAAAAAAGGAGCGATTTGCAGTTTAGATGAATCAGTAACTCATTCGGTCACCTTTGTTAAACACTGCAGTAACAATGCAGAGACTTTCCTGTCATTTATGAAAGGATTAAATGCTATACATCATTTACAAATTCAACTAACATAATCAGGATTTATTACAATGTGACAAATAACGACAATGTAACAGTGTGATTCCTGAAGGAAACCGTTTTAAATTATTTACGAATATCTGAACACAAATCACAATTTAAAAAAACCAAAGTATACAGTATATTTAAAAAAACAGATTGGCAGTGCCACTTTCTACAAGGCATTTCTGGCTTGAACATTTCACCGACCAAATATAATAACCCTTTTTTACACAGTGATATGTTATCTGAGGCTCTTTTATCAGGTCCCATTCATCCAGACACAACACAGAACCAATGTGTTGAGACATCATCTGCTCATATAGTCACAGTTATGTTCTGTCTCAATTGCAGAAGGGGTCAAATCACATGAGAGCTTTCTATTGTAGCAGTAGCATCCTTAAGGCTGTGGTAGAAAGTCAGCTTTTAGTCTTTCCACAGGATTTAAGGACAACCAATAGCAAATAGCAAAAGTCTAATGCAATTAGTTTATATGTAGCTCTCGTGCTCCTCCTTCATAGGGCTAATGGTTTGAGTGCCAACATCAGAATCTTTCAAAACATCAATCCCGTTTGCTTCATTTCTCCCTGTTTGATTCTCCTCCTGCTCACCCTTTAGTTCTGCCTCAGTCCTTCCATCACCTTCCTCCTCTTGTTCCTCTGCAGGTATGACTGTCTGGGAGAGGTTTGGGTCCGTGCAGCCGTGTTTTTGACTCCGTTTCGGGCTCTGGGTGTGGTGTGGATGCCGGTCATGATCCTGGCTGTTGAAGAACTTTTGGATGGTGTGTTTGGGCAGGCCCAGCTGAGCGGACAGGGTGTGTATGGCCTCTTCGTCTGGGTCGAGTCCCACGTCTTGAATGAAGCTCTGCAGGATTCCCAGAGCCTCATGGGACACTTTTAACCCCTGGACTTCACTATCTGCCTCTAAACACACCCCAGCCTCACCTCGCTCCTCATCCTTCACGCTGGGCCACTTCATAGTGAGCTTCACCTCCTCTTTGCACTCTCTAATGATGTCACCAATCCCTTCCTCCCCAGCACTCCCATTCCTCACCTGCTCCTTACTTTCCATACCCTTCTCCCTCACCCTCCCAGTACAACCCCAGTCCCCTCCGAAAATGCTCATCTCGCCCTCAACCCAGTCCTTACTGTCTCCCCTCTCTCCATTACTGCTGCCCCTGCCCTGCAGATGCACCCTCACGTGCCCCCAGTTGTTCCCCCCCGCCTCACACTCTGCTGGTGATGCAGCACATGGTTGCCGTGGAGACAGGTGAGGTCCTGCCTCTGGGTGCAGGGGCTGATGGGGCTGGAGATGGTGCTGCTGCGGCAGAGGAGAGTGGCGTTGGTACTGACAAGAGAAGAAGAGAAAATATGAGGAAAATGCTGTATTTGTTCTTTTTGGATTTCATATTTGTATTAACAACAACTTATTACTTCTGGCAGGGATGTAATGTTTGTCTGTTAGCAAAATTAAGGAAAAACTATACTGACGCAATTGATATGAAACTGTATGAAATATGCTCTTTAAATCTGTATGTACTTTTTAGCGTGTGTCTGTATGTGTGGGCGAGGGCAGCAGACACAGTCTTCTTGTCTTGCTATAAATACAATGGTATTCAATGTAACATAGTGTACTTAAAAAAAAAAGAGATATACATAGGAATTTTGTATGTTAAATATAAGGTTTGTGTTTTAATCAAGCCATCTATCCATGCAGAAGCTATGTGAAAGATTAGTAACTAATAAGCTTTACAGATCATTGCCTAACGTGGCAATCATGTTTTTATTTTTTGCACATATTTGACATTTAGCTGCCATTACTGCTCCTTTTACTTTGAACACCCCAGAGATCTATTGGCATTTAATGTGACACATTCTTTTCAACATTTCTGGAAGAATAATATTACAGTACTAATAAATCACTTCTCCTAGATAGATAGAAGTGCCTCGAAGAACAAAGTCAGATCACCTTATGCCCTCTACAAAAAAATGAGGATTTACAAAGTTATTAACCAGAGTTATGTATCTGCTAGCCTTGCTGCTTGTGTTTCCATTTTAATGTATTCCTAACAGCTGTTTCTATATCAAGCGAGCGAGATGTACCGACGAGTCAGAGTGTGTAGAGCAGCGTGTGTGTGTGTCGTGATGCTGTGTTTATCTTGTCTCTGCTCTCTCACCAGTGTGCTGTCGTTGCTGAGCAGTGTCAGCCTGTCAGAGTGCTGCTGAGCCGTGCTGCTGCTCTCCTGCTCGTAGATGGCGTCTCGTTCGGTCTGCGACAGGCTGAGGAACCGGCGGATCATGCACAGGTTCTCCCACAGGGTCCGGTTCTCTGGGTTGGGATCCTCTTTCCAACGCAGCAGCTCACACAGCCAGCCCTACAGGAGGAACACTCACACTTATTTAAAAGCACTATGCAAACATTTAATAAATAATCTCTTAACATTCTAGTTGTATGCAGATTTAGGGGCCTGACAGGTAAATAGATAGTCTGGGCATCTACAGTATGTCTGGAGAAGTTTATGGGTACAGATTACTTCCTTTAAATGGAGCTTATACTTGATTGTAAAGACATTTTCTTCTCGAGGGAAGCTAAGCTATAACCATGCTACACACCTTTAAGCACTGCATGCAAAGGCCTTAATACGTTTATCTGCAACTTAGCAAGTACAAAAAACAGGAAAATATTGGGGGACTATAATATAAACAAAGCCAAATTATTTTTAACTTTATGCCTTTTTTTGTCAGTATTTGTTATACACTCTATGTGTATATTTAACCTCTTCAAATAATGCATGGACACGTTTTGTATTTTATTGTATGTATGAAGTCAACATACTTGTCGTGTAATTTCGTTCGTGGCGGGGTCACTATTGAAAATTATTTGAACTAATTTGGTTTATAATTTGAGAGGAAATCTACATTTTAAACAACTCTAGGTCCGAACAACTGTGAGAAGTATGTGCATAACAATCTGTGGCGTGATTCTATGGAATGGTTTGGAGCAGGAGTTCAAACAAAGCACACATATAATTCAGTTTAAAAGGATGTGCAGAAACACTTTTTTGGAAAACTATGAGAATGAAGAAAGGTGATTGAAGATGAGAAATTATTGTAATGTATGTATAAATGTAAATATGTAAGTAGGAATATCTTGCAGAAATATTTAAAGGATAATCATTGATCAGCAGTAAGTAAGGGGTGGGAATGAATAAGCATTTGCTTCCTCCTGCTCCCTTTCGGAACCATATGATTTATTATTATTATTAATATGAACATCTTTGTTGAATATATAAATATTATTATGAATAGTGATAAATACCGTATTCTAACAATACGGTATTCTGTTTTTCACATTTGTTATTTTGTATTTGTTTTTTTAATCTGCTCGAAACAAAGATGGAAATTAAATTAAATCTATTTTAAAGTCACAGCATTGTTCTTTAAAAATGTAATATTAGCTTTTGCAGTTTTTTTTGTTCACATCCATTTTGTGACTAATCGGAATTTAAGAAGATACAAGTAGTAATAACTGCAAAGTTAAGGTCTAATTTCAGCCTTTCCCTGGTCTATAAACTATAAATTCACAATAATTGATTCAAAAAAGGGGTTATGTTGAAAAGCAAAGCCAAAAGATGATGGAGAGATTTAACTCAAGTTGTTTTCTGCATCACGACAGAAGGGAAGAAACTTGTGAGTGGCAGATTGAGTAACAAAAAGCCAAGCTAGTTTCAAATTCATGAACTGGAGCATGATTACATTTGCAAGCAAGCTGAAAAGCACACACACACACACACACACAGATTCACAAACCCACACACACACACAAGCACGCGGTCACACACCTACACACACTCACACCTGGCTGTTGCCCAAGTCTAGCACACAATGCCATCCAGATGCACAGTGCAGATAGAACAGAGAGATCCAGCATGGTTCTGCGTGCCAAATACTCGGGTAATACAGAGAGAAAGGGAGCGTGAGAGAGAGAGAGAAAGAGGACATGGAGAAAGTGAAGTAAAAAGGGAGGCCAGCGAAGAGATGGGAAAAAAACCTCAGGGGTTTTGGACCACCTGTCTGTACTGGCTGACCGCTGAACGACCTCTAAACCGCTTCATGATGAGTACAGAGAAGGGAGAGAGAAGGAAAGTAAGAGAGAAAGACAGAAAGAAATAAAAAAAAGAAAGGAAGGAAAATGAAAACTGGAGACATACACGAGAGGAGGAGAAAATGAGACAGCTGAAATCCCCCCATTCCATGAAGGGAAATTATCCTCAAAACAAAAGGCAATAACAAGCTTATGGGGCCGCCATAAAAATGAGAACAATAAAAATGTGAATCATGCCTGTGTGTGTATGCGTATTAGTGCATTTGTTTGCCAGGGTGTATGTGTGTGTTTTTGGGATTGCTTGCACATGCATGTGCTCGTTCAGTGTGTCTATGTGCAGAAATAAGTGGTGTGTATGTATGTGTGTGTGCACGGGTTTTTGTAGTGCGACAATTAAAGCGATCATTTAGGACACAATAGCAGCCTGATGCACCGATGATAGTCCTCTGCAGAGTACAGCTGCTGGGTTGATTATCTGGGTTTCTACACACACTAGTTATCCCAGCTTTAAATGAGAAGATGGATTCATCTCATCATGGAAGCTGCATTTGAACAATCAAGCAGTGCAAACTATTGGATGCAATATGTGTGTGTGTTAAAGATCGGACACCAGAAGTACCTGACTCTTGGAGACGGAAACTTTAGCAAACAGAGCCTGAGACACCTTGGCTCTCTTCATCTCGTGCTGAATGTCCTCGTAGATAGAAGCGCTCACATTGAGTACACAGCTGTCTGTCCTCAACCCTCTGTCTCCTAGAACTGGGGACAGTCTCGCCTAAGAAGAGATACACAAGAGGACACAAAGACAAGTTAGTAAACTTGAGCGGCATTTGCTGCGATGTGAAATAATCCAATACAGAGCTAAGACACACACACTTTTAAAGGAGGTACTGTCAACCCAGTGACTTCCAGTTGGCCATGTAGGTACTACCAAATGATGGATTGTATTAGCTTTTTGGTAAGCTAGTTAACGAAATGTGCTCAGGAATTCACCTCAATATGTCAAATTAAAATGTGTAATTTCCAAATCCAATAACATCCTTTTATCAGCAAGCCAATCACGTACAGAGGGTACAGACTATAAAGTGTTTTGCCACTGTTAGCTATAGCTACCTAACGTTTCTTCGGATCCAGTGAAAGATGCCAAATACTGTAGATTGTATTTTTGGGATATGGCCCTTTTTCAGGAAAGCCTCCAAACCGTGTGGTGAGGAAATATAAACTTGAATACATTATATTTGTATATTTTAAACATTCATGATGGCAGGCAGTGAGGGGGGAGGGTTAGCAGAATATTTATGTTTATCATTACAGCTGAGAGGAACAACACAGATTTTCATTCTTTTTCTCTTAAATTAGAAAAGTATTGTTTCGTATTTTCTTTATCAGAAGTGGGTTTTGACTAGGAAATGGGAAGCCAGTGAGGGATGCTGTCCTTTAACAAACCCTAGGGGGTGTACTCTTGGTGGAAAACATGAACAAATGCACACGATGCTCATTGGTAATGTAGATCCTCCCTGGCAGGAGAAGCAGCTGGCAACTTCATGTATATATGCATGCACCTCTCCAGGTTCTGAGATGGAGCCGCAGCGTAGAGCACAGCAGCAGAACAGATCAGAATGGAAATGTAAAAAACATGGCTAGAGAGAAAGCTGGTCGGGTCAGACTAACCTACTGCCACAACACGGTTCATACAGTATAACCTTTCCAGCACTACAATTTGGAAAAATGTAGGGACATAAGAAGAAAAAAACCGGCATCCTTTTTGTCGTTAAGGCATCTGTTAGCTGGCAACTCTTATCTATTTTCGCAATATGTGATGTACAGTATGTCAGGGGTCTGTGACATTCACAACTTCAACAACGACTCCCTGATATGATGATTTAGATTTGCTGTTGACTATGACCTTTACCTGTCTTTGGTGAATTAAGATTCATCCATACAGTACATTTTAATTGTCTAGCACTCTTTGTCTTTTATTTCCACTTCCCTATTTCAGTGAAGAAACACATCAGTTCAAACATTTCACAGCAGCTTTGTGACACTGATTTCCTGTCTGCAGGCTGACCTGTGTGGATCTCGGTGGCGTGTTGCAGCCTGGGATGAATCCAGTCAAGGTTCTGTCTTTCTCCTCCAGGTAGATGCGATCCCTCTCAGCCTCGTGCACCTGCAGGAAGCTGTACATGGCCCGCAGGTTGACCAGCAGAGACTGGGAGGCGTGGTTAGGGTCCTCCTCTTTCCGCAAAATCTCCGACAGCAGACCCTGGTAAAGTAACACAAACACACGTTACTCATTGATTGGTATAGGGGAAATAATACACAATCAATTATAAATTCACATGTCAAATGCATTCAGGCATATTGATGTAAAGCGGATTACTATTCAAATAAATGGATAGTTGGTGTAAAAAAGTAACCATCTAAATGATCTTGAGGCTGTAGTTTATTCCTTTTTTGTGCAACAAATAAAAAACACTTGAAATCAATGTTTAAGATTTTAGGAAAATATAGAACTGCCTATATTTTTCATGTTAAGGTGGCAAACACAATGTTTCTCATATGCCTCAAGGATTTTTTGAAAAGCTCCTTATATCCATATTTGGATCCCATTCAAAGAGGCACCTTATCAAGTTCCTGCGGTTTAGTGTTTCACAGCTATATATAATACAGAGCCAGTTCCCCAGTCAGTCCTAAGCACGCCACTCGCCTGTAGAGCTTGTGAAACTCTAGGTGTATCTGTGTATGCAGGAAAGCCTTTAAACATGCTGATTGTTGGGCTTCCGCCCTGAAAAGAAATCAGATTTCACGCTGGCAGTGAAATGGAAAGCAAGGAAACAGGCTTTTTATTCAAATCATGGATCATCTTTGGATCCACCCAGCAAACCCCTCCCTCCAAATAGACGGCGGCTTTAAGGTGAATCGCCAAATGACAAATGTTCCCATCACTTCTATATGGCATCTTGGCATCATGCCCAACTTGTATGGCTGGCACCGGAGCACCTTGGACTTGGCAGTGGGGAAACATGGGGGTGGATAATAGCTAGCTCTGCTTATTGTGATGGAAATGATAATGACGGTAATAATAATAATAACAATGGGCTTAGCCTGTCCTCTGAGCCCCTTTATGTGGGTGTGGTGGTGAATGTAAGATGATAGACACAGATTATGTGGCATTTTAGTGTTAGAAGCGAGATATGGAAACAAAATGAGGGAGACCAATGGAAGAACAAAGGGAAATCTTTTTTTTTTTAAACTGTTCAAGGGGTTTTTAGAGGGAAAGGTTGAACGATGAAGGGACAGTACAACAGAAGAAGAGGTAGAGAGGGAGACAGTTTCCCTCCACGGGGTTGTGATTAGTTGGCCCAGCAGCTGCTTCAGTGCTGGCACCAGCTTTGTGCTGCAGAGGGCTGGCAAAAAACACACACACACACACACATACGTACACACATGCATAGGGGGGAGGGGGCACTGCGGCAAAGGCCATGCCAATGTGCCAACCATCAAACACACACATTCACAGAACACTCTTTACTAAAACCCTAACACCAGAAAACACTCCCAAACGATAAGCACCCACAAGAAGTTGCAACCCCTTCTGATTTTCAACACCTTTCATGCAGATCACAGTCTCCGTACCCCCTTTCTTCCGTACCTGGGTCCTGTTAAAGGCCACTCGTGCAAAGACAGCTTGAGAGATGCCTGCTCTCTTCAGTTCCTCCCTCACACAGTGGTAGATTTCAAATGGCACGTCTGACGACCCAACAGAAGACCCAGCCAATGTCTGGGTTTGCGTCCCGGCTACAGGGCCTCCTCCTGGGCAGCACTGGGCCTGCTGTGGGGCTTGGGAATCAGGGGCTTTGGAGAAAACCATTGGAGGAGGGGGAGGAATCGCTACAGGCGGGTGGTTGAGAAACTGCTGTGGGGACGGTGAGAGACCCTGGCCGGCTAGCATGCGGCTAACAGCATACTGCTGGTTGAGAAACTGAGCCATCACCAGCTGCTGGTTGACCATTTGTGGGCTTAATGGCTGGGTTACCAACCCGGGGGGGCGCCTGCCGAGCGGGGTCCGGCCACATATGCTGGCTACTTCTCCATGAGAGAAAAACAGGGTTGGGCTCTGATCAGCTGGGCTGCTTGTGATTGGCTGCTGAGTGAGGGTGATATGTGCAGTCTGGTCAGAGAAGCTGTCAATATCTGGTGCAGGAAAAGGAAAGCAAAGACAGATGTTACATTATTATCACATCAAATGCAAACAGTGAGTCCTAAATAAAACTAGATACTAATTCCCTATCAGATTTTAGTGTTAGGATTAGGGTAAAATGTATCTAAAATGAAGTATACTTAAAACAGACAGCATGCAAACAAAATATGGTAGATTTTTGAGTGTGCTGCCAGTGGACACCATTGTTTTTGTTTTGTTTCAAGACACAAAATATGTCAGTAATTAGCTTTTATGCCAAAGGTAGTTGCTTACAAGTAAATGAGAAAAAAGAGATTGATGGAGACATTAACACCATCAGCCGGACCAAAGGGAAACTCATCAGTGGTTGTGGTCTTAAAGGCATGTCACTCTATTCTTCCACAATGCAAGAGAGACACCACTGGAAACATCTAGATGTGTGATGTTGCACATATTTCATGATTTACTGTAAGTATAACATAGTTGGTCTAACTTCTAAAACAGTATACTGTCATGATGTCTACATACAGTACTTTACATACCACATAGAATAAGTATGTAGTATGGATTAGGGACATGCTGTGAGACTTATCAGGCACACTTAATGTTTGCAGAACTGATTGAAGACCCTCACCCTTGAAGCATTTGGTCTTCTTGAAGTGCTTGTACCATCGACCAAACTCGTGACACTTGGCAGCTGAGACATTTGCATAGTAAGTGCTATTTACAATAGATGATATCATACTCTGAAACAGAGGGGAAAAGACAATAGAAATTCATTACATTTTCCAAGCTCCTGCTATGGGCGGCCTGGGTGTCTCAGCTGTTCACACATCTGATATTAATGAACTCAGATCTGTGTTATTAAAAAGACCCCCAGGTAAATAGGATAATAAAGACAGATGAGTGTGTCAGAGTGTTAGCGTGTGTGTGTTGTTGTGTGTGAGTGTGTGTGTGTGTGTGTGCAATCAAACAAAACACTGTATAGGTCATCAGAGACTATGCCTCTCTCTGTGTCTGTCTGTCTGTCTCACTCACTCACACTCACTCTCACATTTTCCCCTAAGACCATCCTGTGCAATCTTTACATCTGATTACACCTTTCATCTTCTCGTATTTATTTTAATCTGCCTCTCGCAAACAACAGCGGGGGGGGGGGGGTTATAAAGGGAGTGATAGGAAAGAGAGATAGACAGAGAGAGAAAGAGAGAGATATGGGGGAGAAAAGATGGGGAAGGGAGGGTTTATTAGATCTGCAGAGAAGGAAGAAATCTGAAGAAAAAAGGAGATTTTTCTAAATGTAGATGTCATACACACCCTCAGGCAAAAATAACAGATAGACTAAGATGATAATTATAAATCTTATTAAAAAGGTCTTTCCCAAATACTGCATGATTAACGTAAAATTACTTCTGCAATTGTCTCTGTTTTTGCTTGATTAAACAATCAGGATTTTAAAACCAGAATTGGGCGTTATTGCTGAATCAGAAGCTAAATACCAAAGAAGGTGAGTGATGGACAGATAGAGTGTGGCAGAGTGAGGCAGGGGGTGAGGCAAGAGGTGAGGCAGGGGATGAGGCAGGGAGTGAGGCAGGGGGTGAGGCAGGGGGTGAGGCTGACAGACAGACAGAGTGACAGGCAGACAGGTAGGCAGTGAGGAGAATCGAGATATGCAGCAGCCCAGGCAGGAAGGCTTTTAAGAGATATCCATCTCTCTTTATCTGCTTTCTCTCTCGCTCTGCCCCCACACCTTATCTACCTCCGCATCTGGACTTCCTGTCTAACTATTGGACCACGTGCTTGTACTGCCTTATGCGTCAAAGTAGGCATAAACACATACACAGACACAGATTTGCAGGTCATGGAAGGGCAAAGACATTTCATGCAAACCTCGAACTACAGTGCAATGTCTCTTATGTTTTCTTCTTGTATGCGCTAAAAGTGTGTGTGTGTGTGTGTGTGTGTGTGTGTGTGTGTGTGTGTGTGTGTGTGTGTGTGTGTGTGTGTGTGTGTGTGTGTGTGTGTGTGTGTGTGTGTGTGTGTGTCTTGTACCTGGGACAGGGGGCACTCCTTGGCCAGGGAGCTCTGGTTCATGTCCTTCAGGAGCTCCTTCAGAGCGTTTCTCACCGTGGAGTGACTCCACTGCTCGGGTGGTAAGTCCTCCAGTTTGGGACAGCTAGTCAAAGGGAAAAGGAAACAACTTCATTTCATTTCCATCTTTATTTCGAACAGATTAAAGTAACAAATGTGAAAAACAGAATACTGTATTGTTAGAATATAGTATTTATCATTATTCATAATAATATTTATATATTCAACAAAAAATAGTCATATTTATATATTCAACAAAATACAAAATATTCATAATAATATTTATATATTCAACTAAAATGTTCATATTAATATGTATATATTCAACACAAATATTCATAATAATAATAACAATAATAAATCATATATGTCCGAAATGGAGCAGGAGGAAGCAAATGCTTATTCATTCCCACCCCTTACTTACTGCTGATCAATGATTATCCTTTAAATCATTTCTGCAAGATATCCCTACTTACATATTTACATTTATACATACATTACAATAATTTCTCATCTTCAATCACCTTTCTTCATTCTCATAGTTTTCCAAAAAAGTGTTTCTGTACATCCTTTTAAACTGAATTATATTTGTGCTTTGTTTGAACTCCTGCTCCAAACCATTCCATAACATCACCCCACAGATTGTTATGCACATACTTCTCACAGTTGTTCTGACCTTCAATATAATTATCTTTATACATTTCCCTTTAAGTCTAGTGATTTCTTGTTGCACTTCCATAAAGTTGTGAAAATCAACAAACTGGCTTTTAGTATCCTCTATGGTTAAAGCTCTTAAAACGCTGTATCTATAAGTCCCACAATGTAACTTTATGGCATCGTTGATAAGACCCCGATGTCTTGTTCGGGTTGTTTTCTCAGATTTAAGAAATCTCTTTTTCAGAGCCACAACTATTTTCACAGGCTGAGTATTTCTTCTTGTAAACTGAACATCATCCAGTCTCAAACACAACAGTTTCTAGAGTGCCAATTATTGTCTGGGCTGTGTATGAAATACATTATTAAACAAATGAATAGAAGAAGCTCATGTGAACACACAGGAAACATACATGTTGCCATGTCACAGTCGAAAAAGTGGGTTGTAAATAATAAAGGTAATGAAGTCTGAATTCCTGTTACTGCCTTCCATTGTTAATGTTATAGGTATCACCTGTGGTTTTCAAATATGAAATGATCTATTCTGTCTTGTGATGATAAATGTGCAGCACATGTCCTGACACTCATGGTGGATCTGACTGCCATGAGTTCTATTAGTTGCGCAACTAAATCGCTAACTAAAAAATTGGGCATTGATTGCTTAAAAATCATACACTATAACTTATACATAATAATTGCAACAACCATTCAATCTAATGTAATGGCATCCAGATTGAATAAAACAAGAGATGTATCATTCCCTGCTGGGTCTGGTTTGCCCATTTCCCTTTCTTAATACAAGTAATACATGGTGGTGGCTTTTGCAACATGCACTATGGTTACAGGCTGGAAAATAAAGAAACCAGCCTTGCCACTAATGGTCACATTCACACCGCCTGATTATTGTAAATCCACGGACAGGATGTGGTTTAAATCTTAACTGTAGACAGAAACTAAATAGATCTCCCTACCTGTGCAGCTGAATTTTAAGTGTGATAATATGGTGAAGATCTTGCAGCATATCAGCCACGGTGGCATCAGGAGCATCTGTCACACAGGACAGCGGCACCGGGTTCCACCTGCCCACCTGGATCAGACCTGAACACAGTAACACAATTATGAAGAATGTGAGTAACCAATTTGTATGTAATTGATTATCTTTGCAAGTGTCTGTGATGTACCTCTGGCCTGTGCAGCAGAGCTGTGTGAGTAGCCCAGTGTCAGCAGAGCCATCTCTATCAGCTGGTTGAACAGCAGATCTCTTTTGACCAACACAAACTCAGCGTGTTCTTCTTTCCTCTCCACCTCCAGAGGGTTTTCTCTGTGCTCCACCACACAGAACACCGGCAGCAGGCTCCCTGAGGTAATGGACAAACAGTTGTTAGACATATCGGATAACACAGGAGTCATAATGCACTGAAAACCCAGTCTGTAATCCCATGTACCTTTGCTGTGCCAGCTCTTGCTCTGGGGCCTCACTGGGGTGGGTTTCTGGGACAGGCAGGGGTTTTTGGCCACAGGACTCCCCTGACAGCTCCTCTCCTGCGCCGAGGGTCCCGCTCCGTTTTGTTCCAGTCGAGCCAGCTTGGCAGGAGGCGGCCGGGGGTCTACAACCAGATCACTGCCCTCAGGTTTCTTGGCTCCATTACACAGGGCGGCCATCTGTGGGCTCACACTAATACAGAGACACAGGCACATTACAAATCAAACAGTGTTCGAGGAAATCTGATGAAACAGTATCATACAATCTTGATAATATGTTTGTAGTGTAGGCAGCAGTGAGATTATGGTGATCTGCTAGTATGTTCCAAAAGAGTGTTATCTAATTTATATTGAAAAGTAACTTTTGCAATGACAAACAGTGTCCTTGTAAAAATGTGTTCATGGGATAGAATAGGCTGCATGGGTCTTTACAGTAACTAAGTAATGACATAATTAAATATAAAATAAGTATATTGATACTGTACCTGGCGAGCATCACACAGTGGGGAAAAAAGCAGTTTCAATATTTTACAGTTATGTCTTCTAACAAGAAAACTGGATAACCATTTTTGAAAAACACCTACACACAATGATATCCGGATCAGTTGTTGTGGATGACCTTCAGCCAGATGCAGCGATTAGGATAACCCTCTAAATCCAGTAAAAGTCCAGTGAATGATGGAGCGCAGTTTCCCATAATAAACCAGCTGTCATCTCAGGCGCGCCGCTGCAAACCGAGAGCGATTCAGTTCATCCTCGGCACCTAAATGCGCGCTAATTGTCCCACGTCTGATTCTGCTGAAGTTTGATCGAGGAGAAACCAACCTGTTTCAGTCGGCACAACGTGCAAATCCGACCTGCCATCACACATTTACAGCCCGTTTCTCTATGTAGACATCGGCTGTATCCATACGTTATCCTCCCTTTTATTGATCTCCAATTCAGAAACAAAAACGCGTCTCTTTGCTGTCTGTATTCGTCCTTTTCCTCACAATAATCGCCTGTTTTACATCGGCATTATTTCGTGTTTACTGTCCAAGTTTTGCCTCTGATCGCTCCTTATCTCCGTCCGCGTTTCGCTTTCCGGTGTAACGATACATTGGCCTTAGAGCAAGTTGAGAGCGACCCCCCATCCAGAGCACCGGGGCATGCTGCTTCTGTGGATCCGGCTATGGAGAGAACAATGCACGGTTTGCAGCTCCCAGAGAGCATTCACTAATATATATGAGGCTACAGCGGTGACTCCGGGACAGCAGTTGTTGGTTACACTTCAAAGCTCTATGCGCACGCGAGAAGAGGGAGAGAGAAAGAGAGGGCGAGAGAGAGACTCCCACACCCACACAGACTCATAAATACGCGGACCCAGCTGCATTAGCATATGGTGTAATAATGAATTCACTAGCGCGCTCCGTAAATGTATTAAATGTGACAATTGCGCATAAATCTATTTATTATTTTCTGCCGCATGCTGTGCACGCACTTATTATTGTCTTTAGGGTATTGGAGCTCTCCATGGTAACAAAATGGAGCAAGGAGGAAGTGGCTGACTGATATTAACTTTTGAACGTTGATGTGTTATTGTCACTAGATTAACTATGGCTTATGACTTATATGTAGGCCTGGATAATTACAGTGTACGAATGTTCTCTATATCCAATTACAATTATACAATAGCCTACTATAACAGCCTAAAGTCATCGCTATACTATACCACAGTAAAATAGGCTATATATATATATATATATATATATATATATATATATATATCGATATGCATGTTGCCTACAGTACTATAAATATAGAATAGTATCATTATAGTAAACTGTATATAAAGAAAAGTATATTGTTGTGGTACAGCGGTTTATACTAAATTATATGATGTCATAATATTCACTTCTAAAAAGGTAAAAGTAGAATAGGCTGTATATTATATGGATGTACATTAATACCAGTATAGTATAATAGAGGTATTTAGGAACTATTGCTCAACAATACCCTTCGTATACTATACTATTCTTTACAGTTACATTTGATAAATTCCAGTATAGTAGTATGTTATAGTATAGAACAATCAATAACAGGATAGTGTAGTATAGTATAGTATAGCACAGCAAAGTAAAGTATGGCACAGCATAGTATAGTATAACACAGTCAAGTACAGTATAGCACAGTACAGTATAGTATAGCACAGTATACAGTTTAGTATAGCACAGTAAAGTAAAGTATTGCACAGTATAGTATAATACAGTATAGTATAACACAGTATAGTATAGGATCGTTGTATCATATATGGCAACAATTGTAGTTCAGATGTAAGTTCTAGATATAAAGATAAAGCAAACATCTTTCTAAAAACGATCATTTGACTCTAATAATAGACTAATTTGACTGATACTGTAAAATATCAACAAAACCTAAAAGAAGACATGAAAGGAAACCTCATCACTGTACCTCAACGTTTTGAGACTGATGAATCCGTTGGCTGAGAACACAACTTATCTTCTGTTCCCAGAAACTTTCAGACGAGTATCAGCACACCTCCCCCACGCCGTCCACTGCGGATGAGAAGCGCTTCTGGAGTCTGAACACTGTGAAGGTATCACAAAGCAAAGGGTGGCAGGTGTTGAGTGTCTGTGAGAGACAGAAAGAGAGAAGAAGAGTCAGAGATCTATCACTCTGGCAGATAAGAGTCAAAGACTGGCCCCATGAAATCTTACACCGGGCTGGTCTCTGCAGAGGAAACGGGTAGATGGGTGGATGTTGTGCAATCCGAGTGTATGTTTGGGGAGAGAGAGCATGCTCTACTACTTTTGACTAATTAAACAAAGTGAATTAGCTATCTCCCCAGCCAGAACGAGTCATGGCTGGTTACACATCATTCATCGTGACTAATTTAAAGAGAGAGATGTCACTCAGCTGGATGGAAATGTGTTTGTGTGCACTCCAATTGAACCTCTGGGCATGTTACTGTAAGAGTTCACTGTTTTGCGTGTGTGTTTGAGAGATATTTAGTACTATTTTGTGTGCACCTGTGCCTCTGAGGGTTGATATGTTCATAAGTCTCTCTCCCTGTCACCCTCTGCTCTACTATTTTATCACTGGCTTGATACGTCGTCAATGAGGCTGGCATGCTAAATGATAATTAAGACCATTACACGCTCACAGAGCATGCTACCAGTGCAGCACACGGCTCCCTCAATCGGAGCCTCATCTCAGGGGACACCCTACTACTCACACAGTCGTGTATCTCTCCAAATTAGGTTAGATTTTCATTCCACCTCATTCGCCATGGATGTGATGTGGTTATTATAAACTCATGATATGGTTAGTGAGCCTGCTGCCATTAGATGGGCGGAGAGGCATCATGTTGGCGCGTTAAAGGGGGAATGGATTGCCAACACTCAGTATTGCACATCTCGGTTTCTCTTGCCTGTGCATATCTGAAGTATGTTTGCAGACTATCTGATACACGTAATGTCATAGAAAACACACAGAGATTCACAATACAATGTTAGAGTTTGTGCAGATTGACAAGCAGACGATCATCTACTCAAAGTGTAGACTACCATCTCCAGTGCAGTGGTTGAGGAAATAAAGTACTGTACTTACTGTACTGTACAATTTTAGGTACTTTTCTTGAGTATTTCTACGTATTGCTAGGTCTACTTTATGTTAACCGCAATACATTTCAGGGAAATATCTTACCAAAGTGTTCTTACATCCCCTAAGATTGACCTTGAGACCTTTTGAAGGGTGCCATCCCTTTGGGTGGAAAACACTGGACTCAACTAACTGTACTGTCTTCAGGTAATAAAATGTGTCCATTTGAACCCAGTACATCAGTGAAATGATACTTGCACCTTGATGCATCAGTATTGAAAATATATCTGTATGTAATAATATACAGTATCAATCACTGAGTCTTTTTTTTATTTTACTTCAAATTGAGTATTACTACATGTTAAACAAGGATCCATGTACTTTTTCCACTGTCCTTGTCTTGTCTGCCTTTAACCTAAAACATCCTAACCCAGAAACGTCTCTATAGACATATTACATGTCCATACAATGATGTTATCTGACATTGTGCCAGAACCAGGCTTAAAGAGAATTGACCCTCCTCAGGTTTCTCCCCTGTTAATGGACCAGCGCAGGTATCACATATTGGCTGAAAAAAGCCTAGCCTCAGGTTAAGGCGGTTTTGATGTATGTATACAAATCAGGGAGTCTGTTACAAAAGAGGGTCATTCTTTGAATACAGGGACCTCCAGATTTCAGATGAGATTGTGAGCTCGGGATCAGATGGATCCGTACCAACTAAATGGAAGAAATTATGGGTTTTGTTATGTAGTCAGAGGGTTTTCAAGCTTTTGTTTGAGATAAAGATGAGAAGACAGAATAAAGGACAAAAGAGAGGCATCGGGTAGGAAGAGAGCAGTGCCATGGGACATTTTTCTGTTTGCTTGTATAGGATATGAGCAAATATAATAAGGATGTACAGGATGACTTTGGCAATGAGCGATGACTGCAGTGTGTGTGTGTGTGTGTGTGTGTGTGTGTGTGTGTGTGTGTGTGTGTGTGTGTGTGTGTGTGTGTGTGTGTGTGTGTATACATGCTGCACATACAATATGGACCATTAGCTTTGTCAAACTATCTGCACAAAACTTATGGTTGCATCTTTAAACAGCCAAGCCCACTTCCTGTATGGCACCTGAGGGCATCATAAAAACCATAAAGTTAAAATGCATGCACAATGTTTCCTATGCAATGCAGCAAGGGAGTCTTAAAGCATAAATGCATAACTGTATGGTCTGCAGGCACAAGGCCAGATCTGATAAGAGTTTAATCAAGACGGGTGATAATGAAACTAGAGAACAGAGAGAGACAGAAAAATACTAATACCTGTAGTGTGTTTGTTAAGAAAAAACACATCACAAATCTTACTGTGTATGACTTTAAAATGTAACTGATTAAATTGATCGGGTGGTACTGATGCTTATGACGTTTCTGTCATATCTAATACACATTGTCAATGTTAAACCTCTTTCTGTTTGTGGTTGTATTTGTCTTGTTTACCATAAAGGGACTACAACTGCACAAGGACAATACATGAACCTTAAACCTCCAGTATGTATCAATTAGTAACATATATTTGGCGACTCCTAGTGGTAGAATAAAGAAAGACACCTTGTTTAGTGTGAGAAACAAAGTATTTTGAATTCAAATAGCTGTGCACTATGTATTTTTGTTTAAAAAGGTGCTACATAAATAGAGACGTTGATGCAGGTTAGATTAACTTTCTCATGAGGTTAAACTGTGAGCAACACAAAGTGTGTGTTTGAAGCGGTGATTAGGCTTAAATTATGCATTATGTACGTAATTACTCAGGTACAGCATTGCTGCCCATCTGCTGTCTGTTTCATTTTATTAGCTTACACATTTATGAATATAAACCTCTGCTTTTCACAGTGACTTACCTAAGGGAAATGACTCATGTTTCTTTGTATGTATCATGCATGTGCTTTGTATGTGACTCACATGCAGCAGCCAGCCTACCTGAGGACTCACTTTTTCTAAATGACATAACAGCTACTTTTATTTTGTGGAGGATCTGAGTAGGAGGCACAGTGCTAGATTTTGGTGTTCAGCCCGAATGTTGTCGCACTGAAGGTAATGGGATTGACCTGGATTGGAGTTTGGTCTGTGTTGTTTTGCTTATATACAGTATGTGTGTGTGTTTGTGCGTGTGGATGTTCTCCAGGTTTGTTGTTATTTGCCAGAGGTGTCTTGTACTTACAACCTGATGCGTGTAATTAAAAAACGTTGTGTGCAATCCAATTAGAGGATTTACAGACTAGAATTTGCAAACTTGGATTAGAAACTGGGAGTACTTGAGGAACATTTGCCCAGTCTGCCATTTTAGTGAGGCATGCTCGTAAACCTTTATTTCACTATCAGTCAACATGTATATAGCTCTGGTAAAGGTTTCAATAACGTTTTATTAGAACCTATAATAATACAAAATCAATAATTTTTGGATTATATATTGGATTATTAACCTGAATCTTCATAGTAGCCAAAGCTGTCAGACGAGTGTAAATGACTAATATTTGCCTGAATTGTAGTTGAGTGAAAGTATAAAGTGGCAGGAAAGGGAAATACTCAAGTACTTTAAATTACCTAAATACTGTCCACCACTTATTTTTAAATGTTTTAGGTATTTTCTTGTTGATTAAATATCTACGTTCCCTTGTACGTCATCTATCCCTTAAAAGGACAGATGCTGTACACATAACATTTATTTATTCATTAGTTTAAGTGATAACTTCATGAAACTCATATTTCTTCTGTTTGCATAGTGTAACTCATTTACCGGTCTTTACATCCCATTTAACACATTCCTTCTGGCTATAATATATAGAACATGCGTGTATTTTCTCTGCATTCTTTATAGACTTCATGTGGATTTTATTATTTGATATACTTGTTTAATGAATCGGAGACTGGCACTCTACTGTCCACATGAGGGCGCTGTGGTGAAATGGATGGGTCTACTGGACAAACTGTATCTGAATTGCTCATGATGGTTTTTCTCTGCTCCAGCCAGGCATGACTTCTATCCAGGTAGTGGCTAAATCTAACCATCAGGTGGCGCTGAAAACTCACTCTTTACTGTGGTGGTGTGTGGTACAGGTGCTGTGCGCGTGGAGAGTCAACACACCTGTGTGGATGAAGCAATTATACCTCAATCAATGTGTTGTGCAACTGCTGTATTATATTTAAGTTGTATATAATAAGTGGCAATAAGGCTGCTGTGTGTAATAGTTTCTGGTTTGGGGTGATGGGGGATCCTTGCAGATTACTACATTTCTGCCTCTTTGCATAATGCCTGACCTTTTTCTACATTCGCGTTTTTTGCACCACACAAGCGCTGGTTACTGTATTTTTAATTGACTGTCAAACTCATGTCGTAAATATGCTTGCCTTGCAGTGCACTAAATCATGAAATAGGGTCAAAGGTAACAAAGCTTATTAAAAACCATTTCTTATGTGCACTGTTTTAATAAAATATCCACCAATTCATTAGTTGGCTATTAGTTGATATCGTGAAAGATAATTCCAGCTGATTTCCCAGATAAGTTCAAGAGAAAAACCGTGAATAAAAGTTGTGTTTCTAATGATACTATATGAACAGTTATTACTTACATATTTCTAATTTATTTTTAATATTTTTGTACTATTAATGAGGTCTTGTTTTGTACGGGAATGGGTGTACACAAATGGACAACATGCCATATCATGTAGTTTTTATACTGTATGTATTACAAAGTTGCTATGTTAAGAAAAAATAAAATAAATGTATAATAATAAATAAAAAAAGTTGTGTTTCTGACTCGTGATGTCACCGTGTCACTGAGGAACTCCCCTCTGATCCCAGTTGGTGTTGAGTGATTGATTTCTCCCACCATTGCGCGCTGTGGAGAGATGATCATTGAATCCACGGCACAATAATGGCACCGCTGACAGGAGGTGTCGCTCCCTCTCGGTCGTCCCTGGATACTACCTGAACTGCACCTGTGGGCTTCATCTTCTCTTGTCATTTCCACACGCAACAGAAGCCCCAGACACGCGGGTGCGCGCATCACGTGCACTCTCCATCGACTGGGGATCGCATTGTGCTGAGTTGACCGGATAAGCGCCTTGTTCATATAGGTTCCGCGGCTTCAATGGGAACAGCTCACACATTTGGACGACTTGCGCCTTCTCTTCCGTAACTTTGATGGGGACTTCGATATTGAGCAGGGAAAATGCCTGTGATGAAGGGATTATTAGCACCGCAGAACACCTTTCTGGACACTATAGCCACACGGTTTGATGGCACTCGTAAGTTTGCTTTTAATGGCTTTTTAAACACTCGTGTTTTTAGCAGCTATAGTAGCTTTTTAAGTTTTTGTTCGTTCTAGTCCATTTCCTGGAGATCCTTAAGTAGATTAAAAGACACCTGTCCTGCACACATCTGATAAAGATCAGGGGTTTAACGATTGGTTGTCCTGGATGCAAATTATCTTTTAATAGACACCAGAGCAACTATATCTCAGTTATCTTTTGTTTTGACATGTATATGTATATTCAGAGCATCTATTAAAGCAGGAGAATAATAATGGCATTGCAATTAACAGGCTGAGGCTGTCGCTGTCTGTGGTGCTGAGCTTTCAGGGCCACAGACAGTGACAAAGGGTTAAACTGGGTGGCTCCACACCACCAAACATTTGGACAACTTGTTCGTAAGTTGCACCCTGTGTCACATTTGCACACATTTGTGAACACACCTGAATACATGTAACTTTTTCTCTGTTTGTCCACTCATGATTTTTCCCCATCTTCCTCCCTCTGGTCTGAAACCAGCAGTCACATGTATCTAAATTAATTGGTCTGCTGTGGCATAACAGCAAGTCCTCCCTGGGCTGAGGCTTACACATTGAGGCATTTCTAAACGACAACTTTAGTCTGAACTCCTGCTCTTTATATTTCTCCTTAATGATCATTTCTCTTTATCTATTCAGCAGCAGCTGACATTTGCTCCACGTTTAGTTGATCTCTGGTCTGTGTCTCTTTCTGCTCAGTGTCAACTCATGGGTTTAATTGGTTACATCTAATGCCTTTTTTAGGAAGCGATGCAAATCCTTTGGCTTGTTATTTTTCCATGGTTTGCTTGATTTGTCTTTACTTTTCATTCAACTTCAGATAGTTACTTTAATGTATCTGTAGGGTAACAGTTAACAAACACCTTTATTATAGAAATGTTCTTGATAAATCGACTACTCGTATGGGAACAGTGAAACGTGCAAACATCACAGTTTCCTAGAGACCAGTGTTTTGTCACCTTTGCTTAGTCTTATTGTTGGGGACTATTTTCCAAAACACACAAACTGTACCTTTTTCCTGTCATTATTAGTGTTACAAAACACACCATGCAACCTCTTTAAAAACACTTATGCCTGTTTAACATTAATAATTGCCACTTCTTGTTAAAATACACATTAGTGATGTTTTTTCTCAACCCACACCTGACCCAACTTATACTCTACTGTTTGGGGCATTCTCCATGTCGTCTGGTTTGTTCATACCTCTCAGAGAGGCACTGTAATGATCACACACATCCATCAGTACTGTACTTTAGTCCCCATGGCTGCAGGTGGAGCACCACTGTATGTATGAGTGAGAGCAGGCTATATGTCGAGTGGCAACAAACACTGAGCAGCCTGTGCAGGAACTCTCGCCTGACATTAAACAAGGGAACAGGAGAGGTAACACACAGAACAAATGGTTTGTCCTTGAGCTGTGAAGTAGAAGGAAATTAACGTTGGATCTCGACTGCAAGATGGGGCAGACTGGAGGCAGCGGAGCGTGACTGGACAAATGAGGTCCGAGGGCCTGTCCAGGAGCAGATATAAAGGAAGTGCTGGGTTCACTGCTATGTGATCCTCTTTGACGTCATCCGAAGCCTAGGGGGGCAGGTCGGACCTTTACACAGAGTATGATAAATGGACAAAAGTGAAAGTCTTTCTCTTGATCTAAGATTGCAGACAGTCTTGCCCATAACCTTTGAGGTGATGACAAAGAGGGATTTTCTCCCATGTTCACTCTCAATTTAGGCGTCTTAAAACCTAGTGGTCATAAAGAGAGAATAAATGTAAACTTTGATCTTTGAAGTGCAATCCTGTCCATTTGAAAAGCTGTAAATTAGATGTTAAATATTGATGGTGTTAAATATTTTTTTATTAATATTTGTATCAGCATTCCACAGCTGAGCTCGTCATATTTTTATTATATTATTATTATTTCATTTTTTATTTCATTTAATTTGTATTTGTTCCGTTCATGGTATGCAAATCTTAATGTATAATAATCGTTAACTAAACATGTCTCTGTAAACACACCATTGACCGAAAAGGAGCAGGAAGAAGAAAAAAATATTATATTACCTGCCCCTTTCTATAAAAAAAACAAAATAAATAAAAATAGATGGTCTGTCCTTCATATTTATTTTTCACAGCCAAAACTATTCACAGCCAAACATAATAGTATCTTAGGATAATAAGAGAAACACAAAAAATACTTATTTCCCACTTGACAGTTAACAAAAAAAAGAACAAAACAAAACACTACCAAAACATCACATGTACAAGGAAAAGTTATTATCATGATCATTAAATATCATATTAAATGTATCCTTTTTAGATACAAATATTGTTAATGAGATCTTGTATTTTTCTAATTTCAAGATATACATTTCCATTTGCCTTTCATTCTATAGAAAAGTTGTTTTCTATTCCTATGAACTTTAGGATACAGGGGAGCTTTTGTCTTGCGTCTATCCACTCTCATTGCAGTTTGGAACAGTTCTGCATTTTCAGTATTTCACAGCCAATGGATCCCCTAGCAGACAAGCTGAGAGAGAATTCAAAGTCATAGTGATGTACTTTATACGATGGTGTACTTATTCCCAAAACTCTTAACATCTAAGGTTGCAAGAAGTAATGTTCTCTCTAAAATGTCCAGAAGTAGTTTTGAACAAAGTAATCTCAAAGTTCAGGACTTTCCAAATGACCAACAGAGCCTGTGTGTGTTTCTCTGTATTATCGACTTATCGGCTGACAGACACAAACAGCTCTGAAGAATGTGTGACGATCAGTGTGCCCCTGTTAGCCGTAGTGTAATAACAGGATGTCTGTGGCTCTGCCCTGTGATGACTGTGAGAGAGTGCTGAGACACCTTCTGTCTCCACTACAGCAGTGTCCAGGTGACTGATCCCAAAACCTGTCTGTAATGAACAACTACATATTGCTCTAGTGACAATCACACATCGTTACTGGGTCATTGGAAATGTATGCAGTCAACATTTGTATATAATCCATGAAAATCTAAAGGCTCAAGTTTACTTAGTATTTAAAGTGTTTGTTTTGATCAACCAACAGTCCAAACCTAAAGATATTTGGTTTAATATCATAGATGACCAAAAATAAAAAACAGCACATTTTCACAACTATGAGGCATCTATAAAACCTGTTGCAAATGTTGTGGGATATTATGAATATATATAGATTTAGAGTTTACATGTTCATTTCATGTGCAACTGGTATTCTGTATAGGGGATAGTGTAGTGGTAAAAACAAGTAGACCATTGCCAACACCATTGTTTAAAAATACTTTAAGAAAAAAAAAGTCCTTGATTAAATTGGCTATGCAAATAAAAGTACAGAATTATTATCAGCAAAATGTACTAAAAGTATGAAAAGCACTGATTTGATCCAAGATGAATAATGTGTGAAAGGGTGATTGACTTGTAGTTTGTAAAGTGTTTGGGGGGTCGAAAAGACCTGATAAAGCGCTGTATAAGTACAGTCCATTTACGATTTGGTCAAGGAGGATCCAATTTTGTGTAAATAGGACTAGATCTTTATATAACTATTTAAGCATATCAATAAAATATAATAACTAAATGTGGTTTTAAGTGTAAAATGTTACCATAAGTGTGAAATAACTGGAGCAAAGAAAATATTTTCCTCTAAAATGTACTGGAGAAGAAATGTAAAGTAGCATTGAATACAGTAGCATAACTCGAATCCAAACTTGACACACTGTAATTGTGCTTTACTTAGGCAGAGCAAATGTAATTAGTGACTGTCCTCCACTGCATGTAATGGAAGTGCACTAAAATGCATCCGTGCAGTTCTGCGGAAAGCAAACTGTCACTTAAAATACCTCTGAAGTGAACTCATTTCTTCCACCAGCCATTTTTTGCTGACTTGACTTCCTGTCAAACACTGATGGCCTTCGTTGGGGCGATGGAGACAGTATTGGGTCATCCTTTGGCCAATTTAAGCAGAGGGCTGTGTAAAGTATCTCAGTTTGTGATGTGTGCTCTCGTTCCTACACAATTATTCCAGGATATTTTTTTCTATAGCTCTTACCACACACTAGTTCCACCAGGTAATTACTGTCACAATCACTGATAGCAAGACTCTGAACAGCTGTGTTTTAGGTTGGTATGCTAAAGTGTGTATGTGAATGGGAGAGAAAAAGAGAAGGAGAATCTATATGTGTGTAAAAGAAAGAGCAGGATGAGAAAGGAAAGTTTGCAGCTTTAAGTTTTAGTCACAGAACTTTATGTGTGTGTGTTTCTCAATGTGTGTGTACTAATCTCCCTCTGTCTTTGAGCATAAGGCTAGTAAAGCAGAAGTCTCCTCTCCACTGATTAGCTGCCTTTAAAAGCAAGCAAGTCTAATTAAGATGTTAAAAAGGGGCTGTGGGATCCCACATTGTTATTGTGTTTAAAAAGCCATCCGAGGATCGCACACAAAAGAAAAAGCAGTATCAGATCCTGCTGTCAGAGAAGACAGACGATATATTGTTTCTGTCCCATAGCTCTGCTCACCAATGACCTAATGACCAGCAGAAAGACCCAGGGACTTCATTACAGAGAATTGAAGACCCCTTTCTGACGGTGCACATATGCTACAATGAGGGTTGTGTAAACAGATAGTTATTTCTTGGGAAAAGCCTGTTTATGGCTGGGCAATATATTATTTCTATATCATTTAATGAGACTATATCGCCTTATATTTGGGATATTGCAATATTGAACATGTCTATTCCTGGTTTAAAGGCTGCATTATAAGAAAAGGAGGTCATTGAACAGACTGTTTTAGCTAAATAATTATTTGTCTTTACCCACGTTGTCATTAAATCTACTTAAATAATGATATTTAAATTAGCAGCAACATCGATAGCTATTATTTAATCATAAATTGTGATATTTGCTTATTTTGCCCAGCCCTAATCATATAGTCATATAGTCTTTAAACAATTGCCACTCTTTA